TAGTACAATAATTTGAGCATAGCTACTCATGCAGATTAGAACCTTCTCCCGAACATCCTTAAATATGCATTGATAATGCTTTTTAGCAATTGCATTATCTCTATCAAGGGCCATTTGAGTTAGTTATACAATTTATGATTTTCTTTTGGAGATTTTTACTTCATACAAAACTAAGTATGTTAGAGTTTATTGAGTTGTGGCAAACACTTCATCAAGATTTTATAGGACTTGTGCACACACTTGTTTTACCTATCCTTGACAATGTTCTTTGATTAGCACAACACTATGAAACAGCACCTCTCTTATCACTAAGTTAAATGTTGTTTTTGGGTATAGGCAAGTGCCGATGGTTGAGGAAAATATTGCAAAAACTACTTTTCATACACTATTTGATTTGTACAAAGTCTTAATAATGTTGTTTGGTTTGAATAATGCTTTGGTGACTTTCCAGTGGATGATGGATAAAATTCTTTGTGATATGTTGAAAATGATTGTTGATCCATTTAGAGGGGATATAGGAGGAGCATGTTTATGATGTTCACAAGGTGTTAAATGAGTTGCAAGAAGTTGGTTTCAAGCTGAAACCATTAAAGTGTGTATTTGTAAGGAACCAACTCCCCGAGGTGTTGTAGGCTAAAAGATCCCCGAAAGCACGACCAAAATGATAAAGAGTTTATCGGATGGGACTAAGTCTAAGATCGGGTCCAAGATTGACTCTAAGATCAAGTTCGAGATGGAGTCCAGAATCGAGTCCGAGATCGACTCCGAAACCGAGTTTGAGATCGAGTTCGAGACAGAGTCCGAGATCCGAGATCGGGTCCGAGACCAAGTCTGAGGTTGAGTCCGAGGTCGAGTCTAAGATCAGGTCTGAGGTTGAGTCTGAGATCGAGCCCGAGACCGAGTCCGAAGTCGGGTCCTAGACCGAGTCTGAAGTTGGGTCCGATATCGAGTCCAAGATTGAGTTTGAGACCAAGTCCGAGTACTAATACAGGTCGAGGGGTGAAAGCCCAAAGCATGTTTCTCCCGGGGGGCTATAGGGGGTTCCAAAAGTATAGTAGGGATAGTGAGGTTTAGGAACCAGTGTTGAAGGAACTCTCTAGTGGTGCTTCCAAACTGACTTGAGGTTGAGATTGGGAGTGAGCATGGACTCGAGTGGTGCCGGAGGGGCCACCCAAGGAAGTGCTTAAGAGCAGCTCCTATTCTCAAAAGGGAAACCAATTGTGGTGCTCTTGGTTCATGTGGAGTGGTGCTCCACTTGAGTACTTTGTGGCTCATTAGTCCTCACCCTTCCTAGGGGTTTAGGCCTTCCCTTCGGGATGGAAGTGGGGAGGTAGAGGTACTTATACCGGGCTATTAGGCCACGGTGTTTCCCCCCGGCATCCCAAAGTGTGGCACCCAAAGCTTGGGAGTTAGAGGGTCTCATGATCAAGTCTTGTTGTATCAAAGGATGTTAGGAATCTGGAGGCTTGGTGTGCTTGGTTACGGGGAGTGTAGCTGAACTTTAAGTTCAATCTAACCCGGAGAGGGGGATTGGGAGAGATTTGGGAATCTGTAGACGGATGGTTAACACTTTGTTGTTCGTTCAATGAGTAGTTAAAGCCAAGTAAAACCAAGTAGGAGGTGGTACAATAGGTGGGAACTTTGGCAAGGGAACTTAGTTAAAGCCAAAGCAGTGTTGGTCGGATACACGAGGTAAGCTGGCAAATTGGAAATGAAAAATTTGTGGCTTACAGTATTTAGGTTTAAAGACATAATTTATCTTAAGTACTTTATTATATAAATTCATGAATTTGAACTTTCTAGGAGGTCAGTACTATTCAAACCCAAAAACACTAAACTCCAAGTATTCCAAGACCCTTAATAAATTGGAAAAAGGAGTGCACTTTTATTTATAGGCCTTTTTCCTTTATATACTTGAACCCAATGGATTGTCTCTTACATTGTTTTCTTGGTTACTTATAACCCACCACAAGTTCACACCCTCATGAATGGAAGTTGAGAATGCAGCTCTTCTGAGAGCTATGCCCTCTTGACACCTTAATTCTCGAGTCAAACTGGGAGAAAACTAAACCTACTAAATATCAATTTCAACATATAGTATGATGCCCCTAAATCAACCAATAGAGTTGGACTAAAGACTGCTCTAATACCAAATATAAACTTTTGAATCTAGACTTTTCGAGAAGTCATCCAGCTCATACTAATCAAACACAAGGACACTTAACCTCAAGTATCCCAAGACTAACGAATTAAAAAAAAAGGGTGCATTTTTATTCATATGCTATTTTCTTTTATATATTTAAACCCCATAAATTGTTTTTTAAGTTGTTCTCTTTGCAAAGTTTATGGCTACTTTTTTCCCAAGCTGGTAGACAAAATGCCCATTGTTTATAAGGATACCACTCTATTTGAGATGCACACTAGTCGGTGCAAATTAAATCAATTTGATTTTGCCATGGAAGTCATAGGGTATGAAAGTTTGCAAATTGGTCTTAATAAACTTGTGATTATTTTGAAGTTCCTTAATTTGATGTGTAAATTATGTGTAGTGCTTCTTAGGTAAGATGCAATATATCAATCATTTTATTGATAATTTTTTTAATCATACTATGCCATTGTGAGTGTGTTGAAGTTGTTAATATTATCTTTCATTTTATTTAAAGACTGTGAATGGGTTTTTGTGGATCTCAAAGAGTTGGTGATGACTCTATATCCTAACTACATTTAACCTTTCATTTTGCATATTGATGTTTTTATATCAGTCTCAAAGGTGTTTTGATGCAAGAGAGCATATTTATGTTTGGTTAGCATAATCCCATTACATACATCAATTATATACTGCTATTAGTAGAGATAAATTACTTCATAACATAAAAGGAGTGTTTAGTAGCAGTTTAGGATTTTGAGAGTTTTATGTATATTTGTATAATTCTTGAATATTACTAAAAGGTGATTATGCTGCAATTACTTCATTATTAAAGTGGAAGAATTTAGTTAGCCATACTATTTAGTGAGCTCTATAGCTTTAGATATATAATTTCAAGGTTGTTCATTATTTAAAGAGTTTTATAACTTTGTAAGCAAAATGGCTTAAATTTGATTTATAAGGGTTCAAATGTAGAAGGAAAGGGCCTATAAATAAAAATATACCCTCTTTATCAATTGATTAAGGGTATTTGGATATTTGGGGTTTAAGTTTAAATAATACTAAGTTGGGTTAAAATATAAAAGGAAAGGGCTCATGAATAAAATGCACTTTTTTTTAGTTGGTTAATGGTTTTGGGATACTTAAGGTTAAATTTTCTTGAGTTTTAAGGATGATCTCCTGGGAAGTTTAAATTTAGGAGTTTACAAGTTAATAGTGATGCCCTTACTTAAGTGGATTTTTTGGATGAGGATTTAGTGTTGTTGATAGTTGTTATATTTGATATTTATTGTCCACAAGGTGCAAATAAAATTTACCTTCTCTTAATAAAGTTTGTAAAGCTTCAAAGATTAAGCTATAAATCTGAAGTATTCATGATAGGGCCTTCAATTTTTATTTCACACTTTATTTCTCTATACTTACTATGACTCTTTTATTTTAGATGAGTACATGTGATATTGTCATGTGACTTGAAAGTTATACAGGTCTTTATCTTAGCCAAAGATATGATATAATATTATTTTTGTTTATATGTAGCTATGTTTGGTGTCAAACTTATAATATTCCCCTTCATGTTAAAGAAAGATAGTTATATAGTTTCTCGTTTATTTAAGTTAGTAGCATTTGATTTGATGGGGTTTTTTTCTATAGTCAACTGCTAATAATGAACTGCTCATTATTACTGCTCATTAATACTACTCATTATTGCCTCCAACTACTTGACTTGCTAAGTGGAAATCAATGCTCTTGCTAGTGCATATGTAACTATTATTAGATACTTTCTTTTCAATTGAATGGTGATCCAATATTTTTATTCAGAGTAGATTCTCTTGGATAATAGCCTCATATTTCTAGTTGAGGCATTTCATGTTTTAATGTCTTGGTTAAGGATTTATAATACTTTCATGAGTGTTTATCATCCACAAATGGATGGTTTAATAGAATAATTTATTTGGACTTTCAAAGGGATGGTTGTGAAGTATGTAAGCTTTGAATATTCAAATTAAAATAGTTATTTGCTATCTCTTTGGTATATATATGTTATAAAAGTATAGAGTTTTATTGATGTTTTACCATATAAACTTCTATATGGTTATGATCTAATACTGCCAAAAGAGTTGAGTATAATTGAAGGAGTTTGAAGGCATTAAGATAAATACTTAAAACAATAGAATGTTTTGGTTTTTATGGTGAAATATTATTATATGGAATTTGATATTAAAAACGTTGGGGCATTTATATCCTTCTAACCTTTTATTTACATATTACAGTTAACACTTTTATTATTAATTAAGATATATATTATTCATATTGATTAAAAAATTTATAAAATACCTTTTATAATTTACCAACTTAATCAATAATTTTAATTAAATTTTAATTACATATAACATTTTTATTATTTATATTATATTAATATTAATTTTATATAAATTATTTCTAATGTTGAAGTTGGAGGTCTAGAAGTCAATACATGAAATTTAAATCTTAAAAATCTCTTAAATATATTTATTAAAAATTAATTATGTTTTTCCTTTTATATATTATACCTTATGTATAAAATATTCTTTAAAATAATTTAATTAATTTTTAGTTTAAATTTTTTATGAACAATAATCAAACATGTTTACAAACTTTATGATATGTTTGATTTTTGTTTGTCAGTTTGTTAGTCATATACAGATTTCATTATTAAAAAGAAATATTTATTTCTGATTTCTTAAAAATTATAATTCCATATGAACTTATTTATGTAATACAGCAAGAATTATATAATATTTATGTTATTTTCATGAAAATGTATAAGGTTTAAGGTTTAGGGTTTAGAGTAGGGTTTAGGGAATGACAATCAAGATGGGGATAAAATTTGTATTTGAGATATATTTTGATTAACTATTTTGAAACTTCAAGTTTAAAGACAATATTCTTTATGCGTTTCTTAAGATTCGAAATTCTCTTTCCAGTATTCGCCTCCAAAACCAGTGAAAGGGATCTCGTCCTCCTTGAGTAGTGAGTCCTTGGGTTTCCTGAGCTCGTCGGGATTGATGCCCAGCCTCTGGTACGCTGACACCGACTTGGCTTTCGTTGTAAGCTTGCAGATCCGGCGGTAGAGTAGCACGGGAAGCGTGACGAAGAGAAAGTGTGGGATCGAGAGCGGACAGCAGCACAATGCTAGACAGTCGGCCGAGTAACCCATCAAACAGTTGACGCAGCGCTTGGTGACGAGCTTGATCGCTCTTCTCCGGGACTTGGAACCGGCTGGAAAGCAGGATGAGGACGGGATCGTCTCAAGGCCATCGTCGAATTCGCCAGAGGACGGAGAGAGCTCGTTTGGTTGCTCGAGACATTGGGAGCAAAAGCAAGCTTTCTTCCTACACAGTGTTGTAGACTCATCGGTACCTGGATTGTGAACGCACAGGAAGCAGCGGCTTATTGGATGGTGGTGGCGTTGGCGCATTGACAAGAGAGTGGCGACGATCTGCCAGAGAACCATAAACACGTTGCTCCACATTTTCGACGGCGCTCATCTCTGCGCCACAATCAAAGAATAGGCGGTCTTTTAAGCTTGAAGGAAGGTCCGAGTACCTTGTACTCATCTTTTATCCTTGGACATCTCGTCATTCACGATAGCCAGCATTTCTTCGACCCTGTAAAGCTGCAGTAATTAGGAGAAAAGTGCTTTCATGGCTTTGCATACCTGTTTTTCTCGACTTGAGCCTCGGCAAGCCAAGAAGTTAAACACACCTATAAAGAGCTGGTTGGCACCTTTCGAAGGTTAAAACACTCGCAAGTTACCTCTAGAGCTTCTCTTTCGAGTTTGGTTCCGGGAAGGTCAAGAGCTGAGCTTGGTAAATCGTGGTTTGTGCAGTGTCCAGCTATCGATAACTCGTGCTCGCAGAACATCAAGCAATGAAGAGCTCTCAGATTCTCTGTGGAGAGAACTTCATTGTCCTGGAAACCCAAGAGCTTGGAAGCAATGCGCCACTGAAGAAGTTGATAAGTAAGATCAGCAAGCCATTGCATTGTAAACGTCACCTTGATCTTTAGTTCTCTAAGGTACATGGCAGTGATCTCCGTTGCTAAATCTTCTGCAAAGACAAAAGGATCAATACGGACACAAGAAATCGAGAAAACAAACCGTAGCATTTGATAGTGAGCATTGAGAACACGGGAGCTCCATCGCCATCGCCATTGTCACCGTCGAAAGCTTTCTCTTGCGAGAATGTAGCTACGCTTCCAGAATCCTTCACGTAGGTTCTCATGGACTTGGCCGCATAAATCAACCTGGAAGTGGCATCTTCCTGCTCAAACAAGCATAAGAACCAAAAGCTATGGAGAAAAAATCCACTCACACCAGCTCTTGGTACGCCGAGACGAGCTCCTGGCAGTTTGATCTCTGCAAATGAAAGAAAAATAAATCTTCCTGAAAAGATCGATTTGATTCAAACCTGCTGGCACAGGAGCTTCTCGCTCGATGCCGATCGCAGGCCAGGCATGTCTTCCAGCACTCCCAAATCCATGGACACCAAATATCTGCGAAGAAGGATTGGAGCAAGCACGATCCAGATTGGAAGAACTACCCCTGCGTGAGGAAAGCATTGACGAATCCAGTGGCTGCCGAGAGGCCCTTGCTGGAAGCCGCCGACCACGACGATCGCGCCGCCGCAATCGAAGACCAGACGTTCCTCACATTCCGCTGCGCGGCGGGGCGCCACAATCGCTCGCGCAGCTCCGCCATGGCTGGAGACAATATTTAGGGTTTATGGAAGAAGAAGATGAATGAAGCAATGGACAAGGTTTCGCTTCCAAGCAGCAAGAATCCCTCCCAGGATCGTTTCCAGCGGCGGCAAGAAGCACCAGGATCATCTCACCGCGAGCCTCGGTCTCCTGGATCGCAGCGAGACCGCGGACAAGAACACGTTTGCATCGCTCCTCCGCCAATGCGGCAGTCGCCAGGCCCTGGATCAGGGGAGGAGAATCCACCGGCACATCGTCAACACCGGATTGGAGCGCGACATCTTCCTCCAGAATCTCCTCGTCCAGATGTATGGCAATTGCGGCAGCACGGCATCCGCTCGGTGCGTCTTCGACTCCATCGCGGAGCCCAATTCGGTCTCCTGGCACTTGCTGATGCTCGCCTACGCGCAAGGTGGAGATCTTGCCGAGGTGCGCGCGATCTTCCACCGGATGCCGGAGATCCGGAAGAACAGCATCTCCTGGAACATCATTGTTACAGCATTTGCCCAGACCGGGTATCTTGACGACGCGAAGGCGCTGTTCCAGGAGATGCCGCGCCGCGACGTGGTATCCTGGAACACGATAATCACCGCGCTCGTCCGGGCGGGCCGTGCGGCGGAGGCGATCGCGTTGTTCCGGCGGATGGACGTGCCGCCGGATCACATCACATTCGTGTCGTGCATCGATGCCTGCGCCTCCGCGCTGGCGGTGGAGCTCGGCAAAGATCTTCACTCGCGCGCCGCTACCGCTTGCCTGGCCGCGGATGTTCTCGTCGCTACCTCGCTCGTGAGTATGTATGGAAAGTTTGGATCCACCGCGAGCGCCAAGGAGGTGTATGACTCGGTGAGCTCCGGCGGTGATGTGATTCTCCACACCTCGATGATCGCGGCCTTCGCTGAAAATGGCGAGATCGATCGAGCGAGGGAGCTCTTCCACGGGCTTTCCAGCGCCAGGGATCACGTCTGCTGGACGAGCATGATCGTGGCGTGTGGATCCAATGGAGAGCTCCCCGAGGCCGAGAGATTTTTCCAGCGGATGCCGGGGAGGTCACTCGTGTCGTGGAATGCGATGATGGGAGCGATGATCCAGAGCGCCGAGTACTCTCTCGCGATCGAAGTTTTCCGCGAGATGGATGTGGAAGGAGTGACTGCGGACAAGATCTCGTGCGTCACGGTTCTCGACGCCTGCGCGAACCTCACGAGGCTCGACGAGGGAAGAACTGTGCACTGGATCGTCCAAGGCGTGGAGGAGCTGGGTGAGTGCGCGATCGTCAAGACCGCGCTGCTCAACCTCTATGGAAAATGCGGGAAGCTGGCGGAGGCGAGAGAGATCTTCGACGAGATGGCGGCGAGGAAGACGATCGAGACTTGGAACGCGATGATCTCGTCCTACGCTCAAAAGGGTCAGGGGAGGAGAGTTTTGGAGCTCTACTGGCTGCTCAACTTGGACGGGATCGTCCCCGACTTTGTGACGTTCCTGTGCGTGATCTCGACTTGCAGCCATGCTGGACTGGTCGAGGATGGTCGCAGCCACTTCCACTCTATCACCGCCGACTTTAGCAGCTTCCCGACGCGGGATCACTACTGCTGCATGCTGGATCTCCTGGGACGAGCTGGCCGATTGAACGACGCCGAGGAGCTCGTCGAGCTGATGCCGTTTGAGCCCAATGCTGTGGAGTGGACTGCCGTGCTTGGAGGGTGTGAGACGCATGGAGAGTTCCAGCGCGGGGAGAGAGTTTCAAAGAGGTTTTTTGGGCTGAAAGACGACGAGACTGGCGTGGCTCCATACTTGCTGCTCTCCAATCAGCTGATGACTGCAACGATGGTATAGTTCATGGCAATATCACGAAAGAGAATTGGATCGTGAACGAGGCAAACAGGTTCGTCAGAATATGGTCCTTTATCTTGCTGACAAAGAATTGTTTTCCAGGAACTGCGTACGATGTAGTTTCTACATGGATTCAAAGTGAATGAAGAGCAAAACGAGGAAAGAGGTTCGTAGAACTTTCATTCTCAGAATTTTCCTCTGACGTCTTTTAAATGCTAAATGCAGGCTTTGGAGTTTTCAGTAACATGTAGTTTTCTGCAAGGTGTCTCTCATATGGCCAAGATTGAAGATTGAGAGGTCTACATAAATTTTTTCTTTCATCAAATGCTAACTTCAGCTTAAAGGTGGCTATGGCGACGGGACTTCTTCCCTCACAGTTTTTTGCCTCTGGTGGTCGTAGCTGCTGTAAGTTTCCCAAGCTGCCTGGAGCGAAGCCGTCCAAGTTCCACAGCAGAGTATCGGTGCCCCGCTTGTCTAGGCGAGTCTCTGCTACTGCCACTCCTGTTGCTACTGATGCGGAAAGTTTGGTCGGGTTCCTGGAGAAGGATTTGCCACACCTGTTTGACGACCAGGGAATCGACAGGACCCGCTACGAGGAGCGAGTGGAGTTTAGAGATCCCATCACCAAGTATGACACTCTGAGCGGGTACCTTTTCAACCTCCAGCTCCTCCGCGTGGTTTTCAACGTCGAATTTATCCTTCACGAGGCCAAGAAGGTTTGACGAGGCCATTGTTTTCTAGGCTTGACTCGGCTGCTGTATTCTCGATTTTCCACAGACAAAACAGGACGAGATCACGACACGATGGACAATGAACATGACCTTCAAACTGTTGCCATGGAAGCCAGTGCTGCTGATTACAGGAGTTTCGGTCATGGGAGTCAACTTGAGCACTGGAAGATTTCGCAGCCATGTGGTAACTTCGAGCTTTTTCGTTTCACAGGCACTTCATCTCGTTGTAGAACAGGACTACTGGGATTCTGTAGACAACAATGACTATTTCTCGTTTGAGGCCGTCATGGACGTGTTGAAGCAGGCAAGCTCTCTATTCTATGACGATTCTTTTATGATTTTTTGTAATAGATGCGACCTTTCAAAACACCCGGCTTGGAAACTCCAAAATACACGGCTTTGAAGAGAACCAAGTATTACGAGGTTCTGTTCTTTTCCCCCTTTTTTTTTCTAATACTGACTGCTGAAAAACAAATGTAGATTCGGAAGTATGACGCATTTCTAGTAGTCGAAACCACGACTGATGGACTGGCTAGCTCAAGCGGTTTCAACAGCGTTGCCGGGTAAATTATTATTCTAAGCAAGTTAAGCGCTTCACGTCGCGAGAACAGGTACATCTTTGGAAAGAACCAACGCGAGGAGAAGATGAAAATGACCACACCAGTTTTTACAGCGAGGCAGAGCCAGGATTGCAGCGACGTGATCCAGATTGTCTTGCCGTTGAATTGCGAGCTCCCGAAGTAAGTAGAACCAAGTAAAGCATTACTGATCTTTAAATTGTTCTAGATTGCCTCCTCCAAACTCCAGTGAGCTAACTCTACGTGAAGTGAGCAGAGTCTACGCTGCTGCGATCAAGTTTAGCGGCGCAGTCACCGAAGAACTCGTCATGGAAAAGCAAAAGCTCTTGAGAGACAGTCTTTGCAGAGATGATCTTAAGCCTGCGGATGGCTACTTGCTTGCTCGCTACAACGATCCCGATAGCACTCCAGCTTTCTTAAGAGTAAGATTTATCACTTGGAAATCTCATATTTTTTCTGCTTGTTCATTGCAGAGAAACGAAGTGCTTATCTGGCTGGAAGACTATCACTTTGAAGTATGATCAAAGTTTTGTAGATGCCAATAAAATTGATATGGTGATACACTGAAAATAGTAGCTCTCAAATCTTCAAATCTTAGAGGAGCTCTACAAAACTTTCATGCACAAGTCTCTCTTTTCCCAGATCTTTGCGACGTATGTGAATCATCAGCCACGACCCCGACCACCTACAAAAACAAAGCAAAGAACGAAGTGAAAAAAGGTTCTTATTCGCAGAGACAAACTTGGTACCTCGGCCTCCTCTTGGAGCTCCACGGCCTCCTCGGCCTCCTTCTTGCGGCCCTCGCCCCCTGCCTCGTCCTACAACCTCCCCTCTTCCGCGGCCACGCCCGACGCTCGGGGGCTTTCTATCTGTAAAGCCAGATCTGTGAGAAAACTAGAACCAGGAGAAGAGGAAGATTTACCAGAGCGCTTGGTTTCTTCTTGGACCTTGTCAATCACCTGGTTCAAACGAAGTGAGTGAGGATCTCTCCCTCACAAACAAGCTCGGCAGTAACGCGAATGGAAATCGCTCACCTCGTCTGGAACACGAAGATACTTGATGGTGTTGCCCCTGATGTAGCACTCGGGCATTCTCCAAAACCGGTCTCCATCCTGGAGAGAAGAAGGATGAGAAAAGAAAGGAAGGAGAAAACATCACTCGCCTTGGAAGTGCAAATAACTTCTCGTAGATGGATGTTCATCCAGCTATCGCAGCTCACCAAATGCCCATTGTAAGTCTCTCCATTCTTGAGCTCCACTAGCTACCCAAGCGAATTTTCAGACAAAGAAGGAAACGAAGAACATCACTCACCATTGGGTGCCCATGCGCTGTCTTGAGCAGCGAAAGCGGAAGCTGCGCGAAAAAAACCCTAAGAAACGCGCGATCGATCGATCAGCACAAGGAAAACATACCATCTCTCGCCGCGTGCGTTCTCCCGCCTAGCTCTGCGCTCCGGAAAACCCTAACTCTTCGACCTCAACCCATTTTGGATTTAGGGTTCCTTTATTCACAAAGTTTTTTTTTTTTCTTTCGCGGCGCGCATTGGCGTCCAAAAAATCGATCGATCGATCGCCCCGAATCGATCCAGTCCTTCTCTCTCGATCTACAATGCTCCGTGGAGCAGCCGCGGCGGCAACTGGGCGAAGAATGGAGCTGCATTGTCTCGGGTATGGCTATGGGAACTGGAATCCCCCTCCAATGTTGTTGGCGCCGCTAGGGTTCCTCAGCGACACCCACAGCAGCGAGATTATGATAGCCAGGAGCCCCGCCCAGACGAAGACGATCGTGGGAGCCCTGCCCTTGCGGCCCATCAGGCCCTTGGCGAAGGGATAGAGATGGCACAGCACCCAGAAGCTGAAGAACACCCCGCCCAGGAGCTGGCTCCAGCGCGGGACCTCGGAGTAGATCTCACGCGACACCGCCACGGCGATGGCGATGAGATTGGTGAGCATGATCGTGATGGGCGGGATCATGAGCGCCGACCACTTGACGATGTAGAGGTCGGCATACACGTCCTGCTCGTCTCCAGCGGCCTTGGACGTGAGCGTGAAGGAGATATCAATGCCTGCGACCACCTTGAGCAGCCCCTGGAGGACCGCCACGAGGTGAGCGCTGGTTCCGCCGATCAGCCAGAACTGCTCGTTCCGCCACCATTCGTCCAGGGTGATACCCGACCACCGGATCTCGAGCACCGCTAGCAGGCACAGCGTGAGCGTGATGACGAAGAGGTAGACCAGGAAGGTGGTGCTCAGCGTCTGGACGATGAACTCTCCTGTGAAGAGCGACAGCGCTGGGAGGAAGCAGTAGACGACGAGGAAGATCGAGGTGAAGGGATAGACGCCAACGTTGAGGTAGGCGATCCTCTGGAGGAACTTAAGCCGGGTGTTGGCGAAGAGAGCGTTGTTCCTGGAGAAGAAAATCTCGACCGAGCCGGTGGCCCAGCGGAGGACCTGGTGGAGACGATCGGTGAGGTTGATGGGAGCTGTGCCGTGGAAGGCGTCGACTTTGGTGACGCAGTAGATCGACCTCCACCCGCGGTTGTGCATCCGGAAGCCGGTGACCACGTCCTCGGTGACCGAGCCGTAGATCCATCCGACTCGCTGCCCCCACTCGGTCTTCCCCTCGTAGAAGCACGAGATAACGTGAATGGCCTCCGCGACCGTGGTGGCATCGAGAGGCTCGCGGGGGGCGAGAAGAGCTCCAGGTGGTCGACCGTTCTTCGCACCCTGCTCTGCTAGAGGCCGGCCTTGGAACTCGGCAACAGGGACGGAAGCAGCGAAACCGGCCGAGTTGCCGAACCGCTTTGGCAAGAGCTGGAGCTCGACGTCGTCGTCCTCGATGCTCTTGGTCTTGGATGTTTTCTTCCTTCCTCCGCCGCAGCAGCCTCGGTCTTTCACTCTTGGGGGGTCGAAGCCGTAGAGGGCGGTTCTCCGGAAGCAGCAGCCGGTGCCAACGTAGACGGGGCCCTGGATTCCGTCCAGAGCTCGCATGTTGACGTCGAAGAAGACGGAGTTGTGGTTGGCGTAGCGGTCGTTGGGGTCGATCCCCTCGAACCGCTGGGGGAACTGGACGTAGCAGATCTGGTCGCCGGTGCGGTCCATCATGAAGCACATCGCCTCACGGATAGCGAGCGCGTTGTAGATGTAGTGGTCGCAGTCGAGGTTGAGGATGAAGGCTCCGTTGGACATGATGGCGCTGGCCCGGACGAGCGCGTTCATGGCTCCGGCTTTCTTGTTGTGGTCGTAGCCGGGGCGCTTCTCTCGAGAGACGTAGACCAGCATTGGAAGGCGGGTGTCGATGCCGGTGGTGTCGATGATGGTAGAAGTATCGGGGGTGCCGAGGATTGGGTCACTGCTTGGAGGAGCCAGCATCACCTGGGAACAGCCACAGATCGAGTCAGCCAACTTTTCAAGGAAAAACAAAAGGTGGCGAAAAAACTTACTTGGATGATACCAGCGTGATCACCTCGACCATGCTCCGACGACGTCACCGTCCAAGTTCCTGGCCAGTGTGTGCCATCGGACATCCAGGTCGCTTTTGGGATGTTGAGAGGCTCTGTCACGTCTCTGCCGCTCTCGATCTGTGCTCGCTTGGCTTTGATCTCCTCGTGCGCATTGTAGGCATCGGACCTCCGCCGGATCGCCTCAGGTAGGCCGTTGATCCTGACTTTGAACTCGTCGTACTCACGCTTCACTCGTCTCCTGTCCTTTACGAAATCAGGACGCGACTTGTTCTTGGTTGGATCGCCTCTCAGCGCGAAATACGTCTCGGGATTGCGAGGCTCGATCACGTGCTTGCGGCAGAAGGGGACCCAGGTCTGAGCAAAACTGGCGGCCTCGGCTAGTGCCTCGAAGGTTAACAGTGCTCCTCCATCGTCAGAAAGATAGCAGGCGGTCTTCTCGACGGGGTATTCTGCGGCTAGAATGGACAGGATAGTGTTGGCAGTGACGAGTGGTGGCTCCTTCTCGGGATCAGCAGTAGAGACGAACAGGTCCACGCCTGGAAGATCAGACCGTCCCTTGGGATTGTTCGGACCCGGCTTCTCAAACCTTTCTTTGAGCGCCTCCAAGTCCGTGTGCCGGTTAACCGGAACTAGCTTTGGCAGCTGATCGAGCAGCCACGAGAAGGCAAACCAGATCTCACAGGCGACGGACATACCCCACAGCCACACTGCGTCACGGTTTGGATTCGTCACTCGCCACATGAGGAACAGGACCAGGACAACCATCCGGAAGAGCACTAAGAACCTGGAGTCCAGAAAAAAAAAATGTTAGCAGACAAAAGACAAAGTTTGCGGATCGAGCAAAGTACCTGTATGGGCTGATGATGGCGGCTGGGATGCTAGATTTCCTGGCCAGGGGGCGCTTGGACCGCTCGTTAAAGGCAGGTGGATCGGCATCCGGGCCGAAGTTATAATCGTTGGGTGGCCAGTGAGCGTTTCCATATCCATAGGTACCTTTGGTCTCGAAGAGCCACTGGGCGTGGTCAAACTCCGACTGCTTCACGATCATGGTGTTCTTCCGGGATCCAAGCCTCCGGGGATCGGCCTTGGCAGTGGCCGTGGTGGTGGCGGCAGAGGCGCCAGAAGTGGGAGTGAGAGCTTTGGTCTTGGACTCCGTCTCCCGCTCGTCATCCTCCTCCTCCTCCTCCTTGTACACCTCCTTGCAGCCGGGACAGATTCCACCGTTGGAGACGGCGTCGATGAAGCACTCCTTACAGATGCTAAAGCCGCACTCGCAGGGATGGATCTCGTTGCCTTGCTCGTCCCTCATTGCGAGCTGGTCGCAGCCCCGGACGCCGCAGGTGGAAGGCCCGGTGAGGAGCTGCTGGCCGTGCTCGGGGTGCTTCTCCATGATGTGGCCGCGGGTGATGGCGTTGTATCCTCCGGTGAAGATGGCGCTTGAGACGAACTGCTGGGACGCTTGCTGCGGTGCTGTCGGGCCCGAGAAGTTCATAGGCTGGTTGTCCGGCGTCGGGGGTATGTGCACCGTGTAAGGATTCAGGAACTCCCCGCTCACGGGGAAGTCGGCGGTGGACATGATATCGGACATCTCGCTCTCGTCGCGTGAAGCATACCGGTAGCGGCCGCTGGAGGATCGAAGCTGAGGACCTGTGCTGTTTGGAGCGGCCGCGGGATTGCGGAAGCTATTTGTGCGAGTGCTCTGCTGCTGCTGCTGCTGCTGCGAAGAGGCCATTTTGATCGATGATGCTGGTGCTTATGAAGTGCTGATGGCCTAGAGAGGACTAAGAAGGACCAGCTAAAACCTGCGACCGATTCGTGCTGAGAAACGCGAGGAGAGAAGAATTGGCATGGATGCAGCGACTTTAGCGGCGTCGCCACAGTGCGGGAGGGACTAAGTCATTTTTGCGCCACCATGGATTTCTAGATCGCTGGGATGTGGAAAAATTCGTGGGGTCTTTCTACTGCTGTGGGCTCTATATCGCGATCACAGCTATAAGAAGGGAATTACCCGTGCAAGAGGGAGTGGATTTGACGATTTCACAAAAAACAATCACGCGGCTAAACTTCTTCCTTCCACGCTGCATTGGAACGCGCCCTGTTTTATTAGGTCATTTTCATTGACGGCCGTGAGCCGGCAAGCGGAATGTGCGGCATCCCACGGATATGCCGTCAGATTTTGTCGGAATATGCCGGAGAGCGAGCGGAATAACCTGTGACGTGCAGGCTTCGTGCAGCGGGACGGCCCAACGCGTGGGGCCGCGTTTGAGAAGTTCTCTTTCGATTTCGTCGTTTCGAAGATGGAAGTTTAAGCAACAATTGGATTTTGTTGGGGACACGAATTCGGAAGGAGCGCATTCTTTTGTACTGACGTGCGATCCACTGGGAATAGATAGAGGACTCGCGAAGAACAAATCATATTTTACTGCTACCTTAGCTGCCAGTTAAGAGTTTCCGCGGAGAGGAATCATCTCCTGTTCTAGAGAGATCACTGTTGGGTTTCAGTAGTGTCATTTGTTTTTGTTGCTATCGATCCGGATCTCCTGTAACAGGACGCACGGGATCAAAACAAATAGCAAAACGAGAAGAAAACAAAGCTAGCTGACCTCAGCAAGAACCGCCAAAAGCACCTGTACGTGGATCAGAAGGACCCTCCAACCAGCTCTCCGGAGATCGAGGTCGATGGCCGCAAGTCCTTGAGCAGCCCCACAACCTGTTGCATTGTGGGTCTCTTGCTGGGAGTCTCCGCCGTGCACAAGTAGGCCACTCTCAAAGCCTCGAGCATCTCGGTCATGTCCTCGTCCCCTTGCATCACCCTCACGTCCAGAGCCTTGAAACCCCGCTTCTCTTTGACCAGCCACCTCGTCCACTGCACAACCCCGCCTTGGTTGCCGTGGCCTCCCGGGTAGTCGTCCCCGACGGGCCTCTTACCCGTCACAAGCTCCAGGAGCACCACCCCGAACGAGTAAACGTCGGCCTTCGGCGACATCTCGCGGGAGGAGCCGGAGTTGCTGTTGCTGTTGTTGTTTCCGGCATTGGAGCTGCTGCTGCCAAACTCCGGCGGCACGTAGCCGGCCTCTCCGGTCCCAATCTCCACGAGCTGCGCCAGCCCAGTCCCGGCCAGCCGAGCCTCACACTCTGCGTCCAGAAGCACGTTGCTCGCCTTCACGTCGCCATGCACCACCGGGGGGCTGCAGCCGTGGTGCAAGAACGCCAGAGCCCGGGCGGTACACAGCGCGACGCGGTGGCGGACCGACCACGGCAGCACGGCCAGCACCGCCGCGTTAGTAGTCCCCTCCTGCCCGTGCTCCCAAGTGTCCGTTGACCAGTCCTCGGTGTTGGGCATACCCTCGGGCAGCTCGTGGAGCCGGCCATACAGGTCGCCCCCGTCCTGGACGTAGTCGTAAACCAGCAGCCTCTCCACCCCGACCATGCAGTAGCCCAGCAGCGGTACCACGTTGGGATGCTTGAGCCGGCCGATGGCTGCTAGCTGTGCACAAGCGGATGCCACGTCCTCGGATGGTATCCCCTCGCCGAGGATCTTCACCGCAACGTGGATTCCACCTGGGAGGACGCCTTGGAAGACCGGGCCACAGCCGCCGTCGGGGACTTGCGCGTCCTTGCTAAAGTTGGCGGTGGCCTGGACGAGATCCGAGAATGTGAGGTTGAGTAGCGGCTTCTCAAACATCACCACTGGAATGGTGTGTGGATCCCGGACCCCCGCCGCCCACACTGATGGATCCATCTCGGACGAGAAGGGGCCCGACATGGAGATGAAGCGCTCCTCCTTTGTTGGCTCTTGCTTCTTGTTGAAAACTTTGACGCTGCCCCGGCAGTAGCAGAGTCCGGCCACGACGCAGAGGATTGCAGCTGCTGATCCCGTGACAATGCCGACTATGACTGCGACTCGCAAATGCCTCCTGTGTGGTGAGTCCCGGATGTTGTGCTCGCTGTTGTCTGATGGACTGTGGCCCGACGACGGTACTATTTCTCGCGGGCAAGGCACATTCAGCACACGCCCACACAGTCCCTGTCATAGAAAAAGAGATCAGCTTTTGGGGCTACGGAGAAAAGAACGAAAGAAATTATCAGAGAGGAAAGTTGGCAAGTAGTACCTTGTTCCCCAGTAAGCCTGAAGGGAGCATGAAGGGCCAGCCGGGAACATCTCCACTGAGATCATTGTACGAAAAGTTCAAGTGCTGTAGCTGTGTCAACCTGGCCATGGAGTTGGGAATGGAGCCATTGAGTTGATTGTACGACATGTCCAGCGAAGTCAATCCCACCAGGCTTCCCAGACTTTCGGGAAGCGTTCCGTTGAGCTCGTTGTGCGAGAGGTCCAGCTGCTTCAACGTCTGGAGATTGCCAATCTCTTCGGGAATGCCTCCGGTGAGCTGAGTCGCGGAAAGATTCAAGTACTCGAGCTTTTTGAGTTCTTGAAGCTTTGGGAACCTGCTCTCCACAAACGGATTGTTGTCCAGCCCGAGATGGACCAAGGACGGGAACCCGGTCAACTTCTCCGGTAGAGGCCCACTCAGCCTGTTTGTTGACAAGTCCAAGTACGCAAGACTTTGGAACGCTCCCAAGTCGGAAGAAACGGGGCCGCTGAACTCGTTGTTTTTGAGGTCGAGCTCCTTCAATGCAGCACCGACCTGCGATGGCAAAAGCCCAGACAAGCTGTTTCCGTCCAGCCGCAGAGTTTCTACCGAGTTCATACTCCAGATCCCCACAGAAACATTTCCTGACAAGTTGTTCTGCCCCAGATCGATGTAGCTCAAGGTGCTGTGCATGAGCGACGGTGTTGGTAAACTCCCCACGAAAAAGTTGCTCCTGGCCGAGAACTTCCTCAATCCGGGGATGCGGAAAGTGCCCGTTGGAATCGTCCCACCCAAAAAGTTCCCCGAGATGTTGAGAACCTCCAGCTTCCTGAGCCCGTCCACTCGGGGAAAAGGCCCCGTGAAGTGGTTCTCGGAGAGATCCAGCACCGCGAGGTAGTGTAGCCGGCTCGTCTCCGGCGGCACCATTCCACTCAGCATGTTGTTGTTGAGGTAGAGAGCCTGGAGCTGGACCAAATGCGAGAGCCCCGACGGGAAGACCCCCGAGATCCTGTTGTAGGAGAGGTCGAGCGTCCGCAGGAACGAGCAGCCGAAGATGGCACCTGGGACCAGATCCTGGAAGTCGTTCCGGCTGAGATTCAACATCACCAAGCTCTTGAGCAGCCCAATGCTGGGAGGAATCTGGCCGGCAAGATGGTTTTGCGAGAGATCCAGGAAGAAGAGCCCCGATGGCCGACCCAGCGCGATGGACATGGATCCCTGGAGGAGGTTCCTGGAGAGGTTGAGGTACTGGAGCTGCGGGAGGTCCCATAGATCCGGCGGGAGAGTGCCCGAGATGGAGTTGTTGTAGAGATTGAGGTAGAGCAGCGAATCGAGCCTGCCAATGGAGTCCTGTGGGATGGATCCTCGCAACTCCCAGCCCTGCCAATCGATGCGAGTGACCCGGCTATCCGTGTCCGAGCAGCTGACGCCCGGCCAGCGGCAGGGCGAGCCGGAGAGATTGAATGCCGGTTGCGCTGGAAGCGCGCCTTGGAGAAAGATTCGTAGCGATTCCCTGTCCGATTCGGCGCCGCTCGACTGCGCGGATCCAGGATCAAGGCCGGAGATTATCGCGACGACGACCAAGGCAATCCTGGAAATTCTCATCTCTTCCTGCGCTAGATTCTACTCCGCCGCCTCATCCAATGCTGCTAGTGCCGGGGTCGTCGATCGCGCAGCGGCGCCAAGGGAGTCGAAATACCTGGAAACATCACATCACGAACCTCGAATTGCGATTCCAGCTGTGCACCCATGGCCAAGAACAGCGCCTGCGCCCGCCACGCATTGGCGCTCGCAAGCACAGCACAGACATCGACTGGGCAGGATCATCTTTGTCCTAGAATCCACCCCCATTGGCAGCCGCGAGCAAGAAAACACGGAGAATCCTCTCGCTTCGCTGCCAGCCGCTAGCGATCGATCGATGCGCCGCCCGTGTCGCGCGGCAAAGCCAAGCCAGGCCCCCAAAGATTGATGGCTATGGCGGACATTCAAAACATTGACGATGAAAGGACAAGGTTAAAAGCTGTTTTAGTGAAATGGGGGCACTTATTTTTTACCAGAGGGCGGGCGTAAGTGCGAGTTGGTGGATTTGGCGGCAGTGATTGGCACCCCCAAATTTAGGGGGGGAAACTGCGCTTTATTACCGTACATGCTGGTAAAAAACACCAGACGAGACCGACGCGCTTCCTCGCTGGCTCATTAATTTCTCAATCTCATCCGTACGAGACTCCATCCCAGCCGTTGGGTTTAAGCGCATCCCCACCCGTCCATTGCTAAACTCTTTCGTCAAAGCGTGAGAGAACAGGCGAGCGAGCAGCAATTCTCGCATTGGTTTCCAAACTTTGATCTTCTCACTTAGGGCCCCGCGGGATGGATCTCGTCTCCCCTTTCGCTCTTTGAATGTCTTGTCAAAATCTCTTATTTCCTCCACATGAAACTTGAAAGACAAGTACTGCAAAACATCATGGCTCCACAAGACACCAAAAACGAAAAGAGCATGGTCAGAGACACCCATGAATTTGAGATCAAGCTGTAACATTTTCTCTAAGCTATGGATTCTTTATAAATTCCACTGTGATCTCTCTCTCTCTCTCTGTGTTCGTTGCTATGTTTGTTATAGGATCAATCGTCTTGCTCTGTAAACTTATTATCTGCTGTGTGGATGGAATGACACTATCAATCAATCCTCTCCTCCCAGTACCTTGAATGCTCCACTGCAGCAGCCAAGTTGTTAGCCAGTTCCTCGTGTTTTTATCCTCGGACCAGAGAATTTAAAGCTCATGATCTTACGTCGGCCGAAAGCTGCTATCAATCACTCGAGCAAACACTTTGTTTTTTCCTTTTGTGTCACGGAGAATCTAAACACCATCTGGTGCCTGTAAACTTCCCCGGGGGAAACCATCACGCTCGGGAACCTTGCGTCGTTCACGGCATTTGGAAATCCCTGCGTCTCGAGGCAAAGCCCGGCGTGCTTCCTGTAAACCTCTCCATCTTTTCCAGCCTCTGCCACCAAGAAGTTCCCCGTGTAGAACTGCAAGCCCGGCGCGTCCGTGAGAAGCTCCATCGTTCTTCCACTGGATGGATCTCTCACCCTGGCAGCAAAGCAAAGCCCAGGTCCTTGCTTCTGATCCAGCACGTAGTTGTGATCGTATCCCCCCTCGACTTGATCAATCCTGGAACCGATCCTGGCCTCTTGCAGGAAATCAAAGGCGGTGCCTGCGACGGGGGCGAGCTCGCCAGTGGGAATTTGGAAGTCGTCCACTGGAGTGTAGCGAGAGGCCGAGATGCAAATGGTGTGGTCGAGGATGCTGCCGCTCTTGTGCCCCGCCAGGTTCCAGTACGTGTGCTGCGCAAGGCTGACCGGAGTTTGCTTGCTCGCCGGCACAGCTCTCATTTCCACGCGCAGCTCGTTCTCGTGAAGAGCATAAGTTACTGAAACGTCCAGCTCGCCCGGGAATCCTTCACGAAAAGGAAGAGAAAGCTTTAAAGCTGTACAGGAAGTCGAAAGCGAGGAAGCTATACCTTGCTCGCCATCGCTGCTGTGGTACGTAAATTCGACCACTGGGACCTGAGATTCCTTGACAATTTGCGACTGCCACAGCACTTTGTCATATCCAACTTCACCACCTGTGCAGTGTGGATGGTGTTTTTTTGTTTTTTTGTTTTTGTCCCACACAAACTTCACAGTGAGGAAAGTCCAGGCAGAAAAGAGCAAGCGTACCATGAAGAGTGTTCATGTTGTTATTGGCAGGCAGAGTGTACGTGACTCCATCCATGGAAAAAGATGCGTCTTTGATCCGGTTCGCTACGCGACCAACAATGCATCCAAAATACGGCGAGGTTCCATCCTGGAAAAACGACGACTCTAAGAAGAAGAAGAAGAAGAAGAAGGGCGAAAAAAACAACAAAGAAGAGAAGATACCATGTAAGGATCGCAGGAATCAAATCCCAGAACGATATCAATGTCCTCTCCAGCTGCAAAATTCAAATCTAGAGAGAAAACCAAGGATTATTCTCAAACCTGAAGGATCCCTGAGGCAGAGCGAGACGATGGTCGCTCCCCAGTTCGTGATCCTGGCAGTGATGCCTCCATTCCTCAAGGTGTACAGATAGACCCCCGGCTTGCGCCCCCAAGCCTCCACATCTACACACTTGCTATCACTCGCCATTGCTAACAGAAGAATAGCATGCCCTTATTCTCCCAAATATTTTTCCCATCCTCAACTTATATTAGTTCTATTTCTAAAGATAAGATCGTAAAAACCTGATTTTTCTTCCTTTTTTTTGTAAATAATTGTCCTTCAAGGCATAAATGTACACATTTGCTATGATCGATCGAGCATACGAAGCTAGAGAGGTGGAGGAGGGACATGGTCGTGCTCCGAGAGGTATGGAGTGACATGCCGGAGCTTCTTCTTGGCGAGGTCCTCGTCCAAGTTGGCCATGCTCGCCGTCCCGCCCCGGTAAAACTCCCACACGATGCTCGACAGCCTCTCCCTCACCGCCGCCGGCTCCTTGTCCCGCATCGCCTCCAGCTCCGCCTCCATGGTCTGCGGCTCCTTGAGGCTCGCAAACTCGCGCAGCAGCCGCTCGTGCACCGGCATCCAGTTCCGCGGCAGCGGCGAGAACACCGCCTCGGGTATCCGGTCCAGGAACCGGAACTCGATCGGCTCGATGCCCGTCTTCATGCCCGACACCACCGCCTGCCGGTACTGCGGCGTCCGGCCCTTGCGGTCCTTGAGCTGGTAGCTCAAGTCGGAGCTGGCCGTCTTGTAAACCTTCGCCTGCGAGCGGAGCTTGTACTTGGCGGCGTACATCTTCGCCAGCGACGATCGGAAGACGTAGCCGATGAGGCCGCAGACGGCCTTGCGATTGAAGGCGTACTTGTACCAGTCGGAGAGCGCGCGGAGGAGCTTGTTCATGTGTGCGTTGGTCTGCGCCTGCTCGGTGTGGAAGAGCCTCATGCACGCCAGCGGGTGGTCGTCACCTTTGAGCACCCCGACCTCGCGGAGCTTGTGGAGGCAGTACTGCATGTCCGCCTTGACGCACAGGATGGTCTTGTGGAGCTTGAGCGTGCGGTACCTGTTGTCCGAGAAGAGCTGCCGCCGGGTAATGATGAGGCGGCGGCGGAAGATCTCGTGGCCCAGGAAGAAGGTCCGGCGGGTGATGTGCACCGGCGGGTCCAGGTCCGGCTCCGTGAAGAAGGTCTCGCGGCAAAAGGCCCGGCAGCGCTCCACGGCGCGCAGCGCGTCATGCCGCGTGCCGCGCACCGATATCAGGAAATGCCCCGAGTAGCGGATGTACTCCATGCGCTTGGAGTTGTCCGACATGAGCTCCTTCCCGGCCACCACCGCCAGCTGCTGCTCCAGCCGGGGATTCGGCGGCGGGGAGCCACCGCCACCTTTTCCATCGCCACCTTCTTCATCGTCGCTGCTCGACGAGGAATCCTCGTAGTGCCGCCGCTCGATGTAAGGCGTGTTCCTGTAAGTCTCCTCGTCGTCGCTGCTGTCCGGCTCCTTCTTGTGCTGCCACAGATAATCTCCTTGCGGGGACTCGTCCGGCTCCACGCCCAAGTTTGGATCGTGGGGGCGGAAGAACTCGGTCATCTGGCCCTCCATCCACGAATCCAGCTCGTTGAGGTAGATGTTGGCGAGGAGAGGCGCGAGCTTGTGGCAGTATCCCCACTTGGGCGACTTTTGCGCCTCGACCGGAGCGAAGCCGAGCACGGTGTCCAGCCAAAACGGGCACCGCTTGGGCTTCTTATCCTCGCTCAGCTGCTTTAGCTGGCGATACGAGACTCTCACCGGCCGCGGGATGGGAACCTCGAGCCGGAGCCTCCCCCGGAGGCCGCTGGCGATGAGCTCGATCACCCTCGAGTCCTGGACGACGTTGGCGAGCACCCGGGTGATGAGCTCCGGCTGTGGATCGTCGTAGAGCTTGGTGAGATCGCCCTTGACGGTCCACACCACGCCGTCGAAGTTGCCCTGGATGTAGCGCAGGCACGACTGCGCGCTCCGCCCCGGCCGCCCCCCAAACGCGCGCTGCGAGAGCCTCACCTCGAACAGCGGCTCCAGCACGAAGATGAGCACCTCCTGGACAATCTCGTCCTGGAAATCCCCGCGGGGGTCGTCGCGCTGCCGGACTGGGGGCGGGTCGCTGCCGGGCTTGGGCGGCGGGAAGACGAAGATCTGCTCCTTGCCGCCCCAGGCGAAGGTGCCGTCCATGACCGCGCGCTTGAGGTTGTCGAGGTCGGCCAGGGTCTCCTGGTCGATCCGGCTGGTGGGCGACCAGAGGCCGCGGTTGTAGCAGGATCGCTGGTAGGCGCAGTGCCAGAGGTCGGGGCTGTGGAGGAAGCGCTCCAGATTGTGGTGCGTCTTGTCGGGGCTGCGGTAGCTGCTGATCCAGAGGTAGGAGATGAGATTGGTGGTGCGCAGCCGGGCGGCGGAGGTGCGCGGGCAGTAGTCCACCTCTTCCATGTTCTTGGCGAAGAGATAGGCGGGCTGGGGCTTGGGCTTGGGCGGGGTCTTGGCGTAGCTGCGCGTGATGACCATGGGCATCGCCTTGGCTTCCACCACTGCCTGGAGCCCTGCATTGGCATTGGGACGGCGCCATTGCCATCCGGATGCCCGTCTTGCTGCCGCTGTCGCGGCCATTTCATAAACCCTACACCATAAACCCTAGAATTCCATTGCGCCCTAAAATTCTTTCATTTTAAAGATGGCGCGAGCAGTGCGTCCCTTGGAGAAGGATCTGCTGGCTGCCAGCTTCTTCAACAGGAGGCGCGAGCTGTCGGATCTTGACGACCTTTTGACGCCGGAGGTGTTGGCGGAGCCGGGGCAGATGGTGATCATGACGGGCCCGAAAGACTCGGGTAAGACGGCGCTGCTCAGGGAGTACCGCCGCCGGCAAGCCCATGGCGAGTTTCTGGGGGTCTCTTCCTACATCGACATGCGCGAGAAGCCCAACGTAGATCCAGCAGGCTTTGCGGCAAGCCTTCGTGGTAGCATGGTTGATAGCATGGAGCTTAAAGTAAAGCTGGGGATCGAAGTCCTGGGAGGCAACGTAGAGCACTGCAAGGGCAGTGCTAGTGAGGATGGATTGTCCATGACAATGCGCTGGCTGGAATCATACTGCTTGGAGAGACGTCATCTGGTGGAGCCGGAGCAGTGCTCCACCACCTTGGTGGATGCATACAAGCAAGGGTTTCCGACCATCTTCATCGACGAGGCGAATGCGTTAGCGGCATGGCACTCACTGCCCGATGGAGAAGCCCAGCTGGAGACGCTCTTCCGCTTCCTTGTGCGCATCTCCAAGCAGGAGTGTGGAGCGCACATTGTGCTGGCCTCGTCTGAGAGCTTCTTCAGGAGATGGCTGCTCTCCTCGGCTGCATTCCAAGGCCACGGCGTCAGCGTCTTCGGTGTCGGCCACCTGGCTGAAGAAGAAGCCAAGGCGTTTATGCTGGAGCGCGTGCCGGCATCGTCCAAGAAGGAAGCCGAAGCTGTGTGGGATGATGTGTTCGCTCACGTTGGAGGCGCTATACTCAATTTGCACCGAATCGTGCGCCTGGCACACCGCGCTGTGGCCACCGGCGAGCGTCTCCGGGATCGCTGGGAGCGAGAGAAGAAGCGGCTGTTCATGGATGCGGCGTACCGTGTCATGGAGGGATTTCGTCCGGAAGGGATGCGTAAGGTAGGTGTTCGAGAGCCGCCGAAGTGGAAAAAAGACGACTGGGCTCGCTTGGTGAAGAAGATGGCCGACTCCCGCGACGGTGTCATCGCGTATGACTCTCTGGCCGATGTTCCTGGCCTGGACTCGATGATCGAGCATGATCTCCTCCAGCTCCGGGCATACAGCGACACCGAGAGGGAGATCATTGCGGATGAGTGGCCCGTTGTCATTCCAACCTCCCGGATGGCTCTTCACGTTATGAGGATCAAAGGATGATCTTTTAATGTTTTTACCTTTATAATTTTGTTTATAACAAATATTCGGCGCTCCAGGAACAAGGCTCGAATCGCTGCTCATCGGGCGCAGCCACACGATCCCACGCTCCACCAGGTCTGTCTGACTGACTCGACGAGATGGTTTGTCTATAATGACCACTATAACATTGTGAATCTGCAAGAGGGACGCTCTGAGCTTCGTCCAGTCGGCCATGCTGAGCATATAAGTTGCAGGAGACAACGTCTTGCTCTGGCATCGCATCGAACAGAAACTTTGCTTGATAGACACTACACGGCTGCACAGCTAGTATCGACTTCCACGACGCCAGGTTGTGCGTAGGCATCTCTTCGAACACTTTCTTTCCACTCTATGCAGGAGCTTTGAGCATGGTACTGGAGAGAAACCAAGAGTTTACGTCTTGTGAAGAGATTGCAGCTTTTCTCTCCCGGGCACTGTGTTCTGTCCCTTTCAGTCATTCTTTCTGCGAGTATGGTTATAAAAATGCAGCAACACTTTGTTTCTTTCCAATATTAATAATGCAATAGAAGCTCTGTCATAAACCAAGCTTTAACTGGAACTACTTGAATTGGGACTTGTTGTTAAAACTGTAGGACACTCAAGTCTCAGGTGATATTGCATGCTCGATACTGGGAATGAACACCCCACCCTTAAGCGCCACTAATCCAAAGAGGTACCATCCTTAGGATAAGCTATAAGGATGATGTCATTTGGGCTGAAATCTTGGGATCAGCTGGAGGGAGTTGGGATGGAGGTGATGGCTATGGAGATCTAGCCTTAAGAGGTTTTCTTCCCTTCTTATACTCACAGAATGGGATAGGCATACCTGCAAAAGTGATTTCTGTAACTCTTTCACAAATTTTAAGCATAAATAACAATGCAAAGGAGCATGGCCCATGCTTTCATGGAAAGGGCCATTGCCAAGAGCTTGAGTTTTCTAGTAATCTAGCAAGATGTTTTGCATTCCAAATCCAATGGGAGGTGTTGAAACTTTTTTAATGTAAAACACTTTTGACATTTATATATTTAAGTTAAATGTAATCATAAAAAGAAATTTAGTGGGTGATACTGTTAATCTATGACTTGGCAATAATAGTTATATAGGTTATTATGAATATATGCATTTGTTTAATATTTAAATTATTTTTTAGGTTAAGCAATGGAAAATTTGAGGTGTTTATATTTTAATTTCGGTGAATGTATTAGTAAATATAGCTTACTATATTAATTTGTTTCCAAATAAAGGTAAAATAAGTTTTTTTATAAACAAGAATATATTTGTTTTCTTTATATTTTTACGTGGCTCAAATTATATTTACATTTATAGTGAAATGTTTTTTAAAGCAACCCAAGTTGTAACTGATAAAAACAAATGTTATTATTTTAGTAATTTTTTTTTTATAAAACTAAGTAAGATGTTGATTATTCTAAAAACTAAATTAACGAGCAATCTTTGAGAGAAATAAAATATAACCTTACAATTTTAATAAAATTTCCTCAAATAAATAATGAAATGGCATTTTCAAATGAAAGATTAATGTGCTACAGTTTATATTTTTATTAATCAAAATTTAAATAATAATAATATTAAATATGAAGTTTATTGAATATTTCAACATCACCAGGAATTCATCTATTGTGTTTCCTACTTTACCATTCACCATTCCAACTTGTTTCATTGAATGCTCTGGGTTTCGTCTTACTCCAGTCTCTTCAAACTTTTGGATTTCTTCTTTGTCCTGTCCTTGCCCTGTTTGACCAAACACTTTACAGAAGGAACACCCCATGCAAAGATCTGAGAAACAGTCTGACCCACCGTGTGCGCGCATGTAGCTAATGTGGCCCTTCTCATACCTTTCCCTTTCCTTTCATCTTTTAGACTCCTCGATCCTGCAGCACCCACCAAAGAAAGGCATAAACAAATCAGCAATCCACAAAGAACTCCCGTCTTCTACCAAGTTCGATCCATGGGATCCGAGCCTACCAAGCAGCAGAGATATTAAAGAAGAAACAAAAAGAGAAGAGAGAGGAAAAATAGAAGAATAAAAGAAGAAAAAAGAAGTTCACAGACCTGGCTTGCAGCTTTAGGAGGAGAGGAGACAGTCTCGCCAAGCACCACCAGCATTATAAGATATCTGTTCGCTTGGCCCTTGCTGATGCTCATGGATTGCGTCTCTCCAATTCATTTGCCTGCGCAGACCTTGAGCTGTCGTCGCCATAGTACGGCGGTAAAAACTGCTTGACGGTCGATTGATACTGCAGCGACTGCTGCTGCTACTGGCGCGGACAATTCAATCGAAAGTCGCAAGACCAAAGAGTGCAAACAAAAGCGAATAGAGGAATAAAAAGCGCAAGGAAAAACACAAACAGAGAAGCCCACGCAAAAGAAAAGATAAAAAAGAGGAACTTGCCTTCTTGCTCGTTGTCCCTTGTCTTTCCCGTTGTTTCTATCCAGCTTCAGCTAACCCCGGCCCGTCCTTCCGCTTGTTTCCTTGTAGCTAGCTTTGCTCTCTGATCAGCTCTTGCGGGCGCAAGCATAGTTTGACTGAGAGGTGTGATTCAAAGTGAGACGGAAGACGAAAACGAGATTACCTGGTTTGGCCGGCAGAGTGGAGGAAGAAAGAGCTCTCGAGCCGCGACCGCGAGTGAGCGAGAGCGAGAGAGAGAGAGCGAGCGTCCAGGTAGCAAAAGAAGGGATTCTTTGGCGCTGCGGTTCATCTCTCGTGAAGCCCATCGTTCTCTTTTCATTTCCGTCCCTGTCTCGCTCTCACGTCACGCACGCACTGCGAAGAGAGGAAGAAGAGATCGCGTTTCGCTTGATCCAATCCCCCAATCCCCTTCGTTCTTCCTCCCTGGAACAGAAGAGCACAGACAGCCACTCATCAAAGATGCGAAGTACCACCCCAAAGAGCTCACGAAGATCCACTATCATCACAAGCTACACTAACAAGATCAACACCAAAAACAGGAAAATCGAGAGAATGGATCACACAGGATCATAACTCAAGTAGCAGCGAATTCCAATCGAAAGAAAGCGAGGAGCGTGGCTTACCCCATGGCGGCTCTCGTCCTCCTCGCCATCCTTGTCCTAGCGATGGCTCACGAAGGTACGGAAAAAATGCCCGGCCATGGCATCTTCTTCGCTCACACACCTCGTATTCTTGCCCAGGAAATTCCATCTCCCTGGAGGAGGAGATGGCGATCTTGCTCCGCTTCAAGCGATCTCTCCTCCTAGCAAACCCTAGCGCGCTCCAGAGCTGGAAACCCGACGATCGAAGCCCTTGCGAGTGGCAAGGAGTCAGCTGCGTGGCCAAGCACGTAATCTCGATCGATCTCTCCAACCAGCGCCTCACGGGCCCAATCCCCGATGCCATCGGCCTCCTCGCGGACCTGGAATCCCTGATCTTGGCTGCCAACTCCCTCAACGGCAGCATCCCGGACGCGATCGGCAACCTCGGCGGGCTAAGAACCCTAAATATCTCCAACAATTCCCTCTCGGGCTCTCTTCCAAGAATCCTCTCGCCCGGCATCCAGTTCCTCAACATCTCCTCCAACAATCTCACCGGCGCAATCCCCCCGGAGCTCTTCTCGCAATGCCAGGCGCTGGAGCGCCTGGATCTCTCCGGCAACCAGTTCCACGGATCCATCCCTAGCTCCCTGGGCGGCTGCGCGGCATTGGAGGTCTTGAGCCTGGAGAACACCAATCTCGTCGGCGAGATCCCTCCAGAGCTCGCCAGCGGCAGCCTCGCATCCCTCACGGACCTCAACCTCGCCAACAATCACCTGGTCGGATCCATCCCCGGCGGCCTCTTCGTCCCCAGCCTCCGCAACATCGATCTCTCCCTCAACAATCTCACCGGCGAGATCCCGCGGGAGATATTCCGCAGCGCCGATCTCGAGAACCTCTTCCTCTCGCAGAACCACTTCACGCGCATCCCCCCGGAAATAGGGCTGTTGCGCTCACTGCGCTTCCTCGTTCTCGGCAGGAACAACATCACCGAGCTCCCGGCATCCATCGCCAACTGCAGCGAGCTTAGGGTTTTGATCCTCAACGAGAACCTCCTCGCGGGGGAGATCCCGGCCGTCATCGCCAAGCTCGCCAAGCTCCAGTTCCTGGTCCTCCACACCAATGGCTTCACCGGCGGGATTCCGGAGTGGATCGCCACGAGCCATCGCCAGCTCCTCCACCTGGATCTCAGCGACAACCGCATCACCGGGGTCATCCCCAGCGGATTCAACGCCACCAGCTTGGCGAAGCTCCAGTTCTTGCTCCTGGCCGGGAATCGCCTCACGGGATCCATCCCGCCGAGCCTGGGCGAGATCTCGCAGCTCCAGTTCCTGGATCTCTCCGGGAATCGCCTCACGGGCTCCATCCCGCCATCGCTAGGGAAGCTGGGGCGATTGCTGTGGCTCATGCTCGCCAACAACATGCTCTCCGGGACGATCCCTCGCGAGCTGGGCAATTGCTCCAGCCTCCTTTGGCTCAATGCTGCCAAGAACTCCATCGGCGGCGAGCTCCCGCCCGAGCTGGAATCCATGGGCAAGGCCGCCAAGGCGACCTTCGATGACAACATCGCGAATCTCCCCCAGGTCCCCAAGGAGATCGGCGAGTGCGCTGTTCTTCGCCGCTGGCTGCCCAGCAACTATCCCCCATTCAGCCTCGTCTACAAGGTCCTGGATCGCGATCGCTGCCAGCTCTTCTGGAACCTCCTCCTGCGCGGCAAGTTCATCTACTCGGTGTGCTCCACCATCCCCACCGAGAAATCCATGGGCTACATCCAGCTCTCGGAGAACCGCCTCTCGGGCAGCATCCCGGCGAGCTATGGCGGCATCGATCGGCTGAGCCTCCTCTTCCTCTACCAGAACCGATTGAGCGGCGCCATCCCGGGATCGCTCAGCAACCTCAAGCTCACGGGCTTGAATCTCTCGCACAACGCGCTCGAGGGCGCCATCCCGGACAGCTTCGGCCAGTTCCAGTGCCTCCAGAGCCTCGATCTGTCCAGCAACCGGCTGAGCGGCCAGATCCCCTACTCGCTCACGCGCCTCACCTCGCTCAACAAATTCAATGTCTCCTACAACCCCGGCCTCGCGGGGCCGATCCCCTTCGCCGGGCAGCTCGCCACGTTCGATCAAGACTCCTTCATCGGTGATTCCCAGCTGTGCTACGTCCCAGCGCTCACCGGCACCAGCGATCCCAGCACCGCCATCCCCTTCTGCGACGGATCTCCCAGGAACCCTAGCTCGTCGTCCTCGCGCGGCGTCCCCGCGCCAATGCACGCCTCCACCATCCTGGGCATCAGCCTGGCGTGCGCGCTGGGCGTGATCGCCATGGGCCTGGCGGCGATCTGCTGGATGACCCGGAGAGGCAGCGGCGGCGGCGGCGGAGGAGAAGGAGGAGGCGGAGGATCGGCGGCGCTCGATTCGCAGGGCTTCAAGATGATGAAATCCTCGTCGGCGCGCTTCGATCACTCGGCCGCCATGGACGCCGTGTCGCTCTTCACCATGGATCTCCCCAAGCAGCTCACGTACAAGGATCTGGTGGCGGCCACGGGCAACTTCCACGACTCCAACATCGTGGGGTGTGGCGGCTTTGGCGTGGTGTACAAGGCCCGGCTTTCCGACGGATCGACGGTGGCGATCAAGAAGCTCATCCGGGAAGGGCCAGCCGGCGAGCGGGAATTCCAGGCCGAAATGCACACCCTGGGCCACATCGTCCACGAGAATCTCGTCCCGCTCATGGGATATTCCTCGTACGGCGCGCAGAAGCTGCTCGTGTACGAGCTCATGGTCAACGGCAGCGTGGAGGACTGGCTGTACGGCTGCCGCCGCCACGCTGGCGGCGCGGGCGGCCTCGATTGGCTGGCCCGGCTCGACGTGGCGATTGGTACGGCACGGGGTCTCAAGTTCTTGCACCACAGCTGCTCCCCGCCAATCATCCACCGCGACATGAAGGCCAGTAATATCCTATTGGATGCGGGGTTCCGGCCATGTGTCACGGACTTTGGCCTGGCCAGGGCTCTGGCCGGGCAGGAGGAGACCCACGTCAGCACCATCGTGGCCGGGACACTGGGGTATGTCCCGCCAGAGTACTGCCAGACGTGGCGGGCTACTGTCAAGGGCGACGTGTATAGCTACGGCGTCGTCCTCCTGGAGCTCTTGTCCGGGCGGAGGCCAATGCTCGACGCTGGGAACTATATCATGGCCGGGGAGGACAGTGGTCGCGATCTTCATCACAATGTGGAGGAGTTTGAGGATCAGTGTTACAGCAACTTGGTGGAGTGGGCGGTGGAGTGTTACCGGCGGGATCGGCTGTCGCGGCTGCTTGATCCGCTCGTGGCCAGGACGGCGGGGTCTCACGATGGTCTCGCCAAGTTCTTGAGGCTGGCGCTGGATTGCACGCAAGACGTTCCAGTGAGGAGGCCGTGCATGAGAGATGTGTGCCAGAGGCTCGAGGATATCAAAGAGGGAGGAAGGGTTTGATCTCCATCCAGATTCCAAAGCCGTTGATCACTCGCAGAGTTGTACATGGTTTTCGAATTCGCGGAGAAAAGAGTAGTTTCTTTTCCCTCTCTTTTTTTCGAAATAACCGGCAGAGAGGATTGATCAACTGGACAGAGATTAGAGAATTCATGCGGGATATCACAACAATCAGTGTGTTGAGTCACAAACGACTCTATGAGAGTCTGGATTCGAGATCTTGGCGATCTTCGTGGTGTTGGTGGTGGAGCGCGTCCTCCATTCTCATAATCTCGAGCAGGCTGTTGCTCGAGAGAGGGATCCCGGGAAGCTGGTGGAGCTGCTCCTCGTCATACGCGAGCTCGTGGCAGATTTGGATGTTTTCCTCGTCGGCGGTGGAGGTGGCTGCCTGATCGCGATCGAATTCGTGCGGCTGCGGTGATGGAGTCGTGGCGGCAGGCGTGGGCTGCTCACGAAATTGCTCGTCGCAGATCTTCGCAATTGCCAACTGAAGAAAAACAATAAAACAGAGCTTGTGTCGAGAGAAACATCGTGAGAAATCTTACCTTTTCTCCGTCCGGTTGCTGCACGGCAACAATCACCTCTCTGGGATCTCCAAAACTGTGAAACTTGTCTCCGTCCGATGTGGTCGAAGGCTCCACGCCATTGCCCTCGCTCTCTCGGTCTCGTAAAACTATCATCGGCATTCCCTGCAATCCAGAATAGTTTCTTCCCGATCGATGAGCAAATAATTCGTGGAAGAATCAATCGTACCACCGGCTGCTGTGTCCTCTGATCAATGGCATTGGAGAGCGGGGACACCTGAAAGCTCGGCCAGTTTGCGATGATATGGCCTTCGTCGTTGGCCATTGGCATCCGTGAGACTTTGATCACCATAACCGCGACAAAGGTCTGGGACACCCGCGAAGGGAGATAAATTCAAAAGTTTGAAATTAGGGTAATCTCGTACCTCGTACGACAAGAGGATGCTGTAGAGAACAAGGGGCACGGCGCAGTGGTACCTCCCGCAAGGCTGCCTCTTCGCGTAGACCGCGAGGGATAGAAGCGAGAGCAAGATTTGAGCAGCAGAGTACTGATCAATAGATCAAGCAAAGGCTATTCAACGTTGATGGATATGAATCGTATAGCGATTTGTAAATCTTACCAGAGATGGGATGTATCCCCGCGAGCAAATGAGCGCGATTATCTCCATCGCCCGGTTGAGCATCATGGGATACAAGTGCCATGGGAAATAGCTGGCCGTGAAAAGCTGGTAGCACAAAACTCCCACAATCTCAATCTGCCAAGACCGAATCAATCGATCGATCATCAGAACAACTGTGGCCTAAACTTTCGCAAGAACTCACCAGGTCTACACAAACAAGGAAGAGAAAGAGCGCCACAACGTACTTGTGCTTGAGGACGACATGGTGCTGGTTATTGTTGGAGGTGGGGATGATCATATGTGGCGGCGGAGGCGGATTCAAGTGATCGTTGCCCAAGATGTGATGATCCAGATCCCATGATACCATCCGGTTCCAAAAGCTCGCCCATCTCCGCCGGGCGCTGCCGATCCATAGAGACGGAGGCATCTATCATGGATGTCTGAGCTCTACGAGTGAAAGAAGCCTGCGAGACCTGGCCTGAATCATGATCTAGACGACTGTGCTCCCGGATTCAATCGAGAGCTCCTCCTCCTCCTCCGCATTATCGCTTCCAAATTCCAATCACTCCTCCACGGATCGAAAGAGATCGCGGAGGAGACAGAGAGACGATCCTTTCCCCTTCTCTCCCCTCTGCATTGAACTGATCCTTCATCTAACAGTTAACTGCCGGGAGTCCACGTCAGCCCTAAAAGCCGCTAAGGGGCTAAAACGTTTAATTGGCTTCATCCAGGTTCGAACTGGAGACCTTCAGTGTGTTAGACTGACGTGATAACCAACTACACCATGAAACCATTAACAAAAGTTTTATCTTAAACTAGGATAATCTGCTAGACTTTAAACACGGTTTGGTCGCCATGAATCTCGCGGCCTGATAATTGCAACTAGAGCTTCTCGTCTCCAAATCCTTGCAACATACATTTAAATGATTAATATCTCCCACATGATCAAAAAAAGCAATTCATACTACAGCAAAAAATATGTCCCCCATCCAACCAATTTATATCCCGTGACGAGTGTAAGTAAGCCGCGACCATACATTACATATTAGCCCTTGGACTTAATTTATATTCATCCTTCCAATGTGGGATAGGGCATGTTGACCTAAACTACGACGTTTTACCATTTTTTTTTTCTCTCCTTATCGAATATCTCACACAACACTCGCGCGGCAACAAGGACAGTCTTTACTTCGCTCGATCCATGGCTCCATGCATTCCTTGTGGAATCCGTGTCTACACGTCAGTAGCAGGCTCGTCCGCCCAATTTCTTCCAGGCAAATCGGGCAATCCGGCCTCTCATCCTTGTGCGAGAGAATTTGGAGCCAAATTTCTTTTTGGGTGGTGTTGGAGTCGGAACCATGTTGGATCCATGCCGATTTATTCTGCGCATTCGATCGAGCTTGTGAGAGGAAACGAGAGAAAAACAAGCTATGGCTACTTACCTCAACTCCGATGCTCGGAGCCTGGCTTCCATGATTGGGAAGAGTGTCAAGAGAACGGTTTCTAAACAACATTTTGTACCTCGGAGGACGAGCGGGGAACGCCAATCTTCTGCAGCTGCTTGTCCCTCGTCGCCACTAAGTTGGAAGTCGAGCGACTGGATCTGTCCGAGCTCACGCACGAATAGTTGCTCGTCCGCCTTCGACGCGCAAGCTCGACACCAGGTAACATTCTTCCTCCTTTGTCAGGCTCCGTTCGTCAAATCGAAACTATTTAGCTACCCGCGGCAAACTTCCAAGAAGCTCCACCCAAAGGGTAATACCTGGCCGTTAAAAGATTGGATTGGCAGCCACACACACAGGCTGTGAGGGAAACCAAAACCTTACATGGGAGAAAGAGGGCGATCGAAATAATGTCTCGAGAGAAAGACTGTGACAAATCTTGCCTTTTCTCCGTCCAGTTGCTGCACGGCAACAATCGCCTCTGGGATCTCCAAAACTGTGAAACTTGTCTCCGTCCGATGTGGTCGAAGGATCCACGCCATTGCCTTCGCTCTCTTCGTCTCGTAAAACGATCATCGGCATTCCCTACAATCCAGAAAGAGTTTTGATCTTTATGAACAAGCAATTTGTAAAAGATCGATCGTACCACCGGCTGCTGCGTTCTCTGATCAATGGCATTGGACGGCCAGTTTGCGATGATATGACCCTCGTTGTTGGCCATTGGCATCCGTGAAACTTTGATCAGACAAAGCGCGAAATTCAAAAGTTTGAAATTAGGGCAATCTCATACTGTTAATTGTCAAGAAATAATGTCAACATAACACAAAAATAAAATTCATAAATTGAATTAAAAAGTTGAAATAACTCTTAATCGTGCTGATTTGTTTCTGGGGATGGTAAGATTTACAAATTGCTATATGATTACAACTTTGAACTTTGATTACAACAACAATTACAACTTTGAATAGCCTTTGCTTGATCTAACTCTACTATTCAAATCTTGCTCTCGCTTCTATCCCTCACAATGTATGCAAAGAGGCACCCTGGTGGGAGGTACCACTCCACCATGTTTATAAATTAAATACTCGATTATCTACTTTTTACTTTAGTTTAAAATTTTGGGTTATAAAATTTTTGAACTCTCAAAGAAAACACTTAACCTAAATTGAATATGTGCATCTATGTCTGAGCTCTACGACTGAAAGAAGCCCATGCTCAATCCGCATTATCGCTTCGAAACCAATCACTCCTCCACGAGATGCCTAAAATCAAAACCCGCTGAAATTAATCGGCTGACGTGTGCAACACGCGTACTCAAGAAAAAGTTCAGCTGGCTTCATCCAGGTTCGAACTGGAGACCTTCAGTGTGTTAGACTGACGTGATGACCAACTACACCATGAAACCATTAACGACTGTTTTATCTTAAAGTAGAATAATCTGGTTCTGCTTGAGAATATTCCTCACACGGTTTGGTGTTGAAAACTCTTCCACCCGATTTACAGCATATTGCTCGCCATCAGCCACTTACATTAGACATTAGCCCTGGGACTTAATTTATATTCATCCTCCAACAAGGCATGTGGGATAACCTAAACTACGACGTTTTACCAAAAATTTTTTCTCTCCTTCCTCGAATATCTCACACAACACTCGCGCGGCAACAAGGACAGTGATTACTTCGCTCGATCCACGGCTCTATGCATTCCTTGTGGAATCCGTGTCTACACGGCAGTAGCAGGCTCGTCCGCCCAATTTCTTCCAGGCAAATCGGGCAATCCGGCCTCTCATCCTTGTGCGAGAGAATTTGGTGCTTGCCACTGCCAAATTTCTTTTTTGTTGGTGTTGGAGTAGGAACCGTGTTGGATCCATGCCGAGTTATTCTGCGCATTCGCTCGAGCTCGTGAGAGGAAACGAGAGAAAAACAACTTACCTCAACTCCGGTGCTCGGAGCCTGGCTTCCAACCTCTCCCGAGCTTCGTTTGCTGCGGTCCTGGATGCCTCGTCTCTTGGGTGGAAACGATAGCGCGCTTGCAGTGTTGCTAGAGCGTTAGCAGCTGCTTCTTCAATCTATGATTTGGAAGAGTGTCAGGAGAACGATTTCAAAACAAGATTTTGTACCTCGGAGGACGAGCGGGGGACTCCAATCTTCTGCTGCTGCCGCTGCTGCTGCTTCTCCCTCGTCGCCACTATGTTGGAAGTCGAGCGACTGGATCTGTCCGAGCTCACGCACGAATAGTTGCTCGTCCGCCTTCGACGCGCAAGCTCGACACCAGGTAACATTCTTCCTCCTTTGTCAGGCTTCGTCCGTCAAATCGAGACTATTTAGCTACCCCGCAGCAAACTTCCAAGAAGCTCCACCAAAGGTTAATATCTGGCCGTTAAAAGGATTGGATTGGCAGCCACACACACAGGCTGTGAGGCAAACCAAAACCTTACCTGCGAGAAAGAGCGATCGAAATAATGCTTGGACTTTATGTGCCAACGTCGCTTCACCTTAGCACTAACGAAGAAAGAAAACGCAAAGAAAATCAGCGATTTAGAATCTCAAATCTGAAGGAAAATTGACAGTGTAAAAAACGATATTTTGCATCTTTGGAATCATTCTAGACAAAGCAGATCAGGAGAATGACAAGACGAACCTGGTTTGATTACTGTTGTGGTTCTGTAAGTTGGACAAGACCATCTGTAAGCCAGTAGCTGATTTCACCCCTTGTGACCTTGGACATCCTGAACAGCCACTTAGTCAGCCTTTTGCCATGCCTCACGCTCGCCACAACTTTGCCGTCGCTGGCATTCACGATTTCGTAGCTTTCCATCTTGAGAAGCTCCGGAAATCTGCCTGCCTGGAGCCTTTTAGAAACCAGAGAAAACGATAGCATTCGCGTACACTCACCTTGTCTTGAACTTGAGCGCGAAATGGCCAAAGTGGTAGAGGTCAGCCGCGGATCCAAAGTAGCAAGGAAGGCTACCGTCAAAATCTCCTTCAGCATTTGCAAACAAGTACATCACCTGCGAGAGCGTTCTTTAGAAACTCCTCCACTCCATGCGTTTGCCAAAGAAAAAAAGATGAAAAGAGGTAACTCTGACCTCCAGCCCGTGATCTTGGCGAGGAGTATTGTTCTCCAGCAATGCATCCAGTTGGATCCGCACAGCCTCCTCGGCATTGAGCTGGAAAGGATTCGTGTGAGTTTTGAGGACAATCACAAAACCACTCTCGATCGAGATATTTACCTCTGGCAGCGGTTTTGCGCCAGGCCCGGTGGCAGCAGCATCATTCCTCCGGACGCTGCCGAGATCAATCAATGAATCGAGAACCGCCGCGCAACAATTTCTCGTTACCTCGCGTCGTCGCCATCGAAGGGCGACGAAGAAGCCGCCACCCGCATTCGCATTCCCGGGAAAGGAAGATTTCTCATCCATCCCGCGGCTGCCGCGCAAGGACGATGGAGAAGAGGCAGTGGCGGCGGAAGCCCCGCGCCTAGCAGCATTGGCCGGCGACCTAGCAATCTCGCTGGCAAGAACTGGTCAACCGTGGCCGTATCCTTGACCGTTGACTACGCGGAAAAGTCGCTCCGCCGGTGAAGTCGCGTGCTGCGGCCCTGGACTAGAAGTGCGCGATCGATCAGTGCCCCCATCAAAATGCGATCGATCGCGTGCTGGCGATCCATCGCTCGATCGAGTAATCAATTCATCTAGTTCTTAGCCGCTCGCCACAAGATCCATGGCGACCTTTTGCAAGAGGGCGATGACCCAGGGCAGCGCGATCGTGGTGCGATTCATGGGGCGCTACCCGCCAACAGCGAGATCCGTGTACAAGCCGCCCAACTCGCCGGATCACAGCCACCGCCACGAGCACGATCACCACGCGCTCCTTCACCTGGAGCAATTGGCACTCCGGCGCGAGTTCTTGCTGCCCAGCATCGCCAGCATGGTGGTCTCGCTCGATCAGCAGGGCGCGGAGTGGCACTGGCTCTCTTCCATCCAAGGTGACGACGAATCACGCGAACTGCTGGAGGCAATCGAGAGGGTCTGCATGGAGAGGCTCTCGATCGAGCAGTGGGATCTCGCGGTAGCGATCAAGGCCATGGTGGCCGCGGGGAAGATCTCCCCACTCGTTTACATCATCCTCCTCAAGCTTTTTGTCCTCGACACAGTTTCGATACTAGATTGAGATATCCATTCTTTCATGGTGAGAGATCCATCAAGATCCAATTTTTTTTTTTTGGCTGGAGAAACTTCCAGCCAAGCTAAGATCCAGAGAATACAATTTTGATCTTTTCCTTCTATATACTTTGATTCATAGTACTCGGTACAAAGGGTGACATATCGACTTTCACAAGGAAATCAAACTCACTATTTAGTTATTGAAAGCAGCAAAGCTTTCAGCAGCTCCTCGTTTTCTTCCAATCTTTAGTTCTTCGTTGTTGCGAGCAGCGTCCTCGAGAACACGAGAAATTCGGCTGGAAACTTTCTCCCCTCTCTCTCTCTCTCCCTCTCACTCTCCATCTCCTGCGATCGCATTTCTTCACAGAGGTATCCCGTCCACCCTGGACACTTCGTCGCATCTGATAATGAGGCCGTCCAAGTTGGCCGGGAGGAGGAACTTACGCCATTGGCAGCCAGTGGACACGGGCTCGGGAGGAGCGACGATCATCAGGACGTTTTCGTGCCTCTGGACAACCCCCAACACTGTGACGGTGCTGCCCTCTTTGATATACCTGCGCAGGAACAAACGATTCCATCAGCCCAAGGAAAGATCAAAGCGAGTCGACTTGTTACCCCTCGGTGAGCCGCATTATCCTGTCCTCCCGGGAGAGGTTCCTCTCCGATAGCCAGCGAACGAAATCCTTTGGCAGCTCCTTGGTAGCGGGGGCGACCTCCACCACGGGGCTCTCCTCGACATACGGTGTGATGTTGGCACCATAGCCGGCTTTTACCAGAGCTCTCAAGCCCGATTGAAAGTCTGAGATGTAAAAGTCCACCACATGCCTCTGCGCAAACAGGGAAGTTCATAAGCAGGAATCTCTGGTAATGGAAGAGGAAAACTCACGTCCATGTGTCGGAGAGCCCAGGTAAACCTCCTCTGCTTGTCGTTGACCGGCTTTGAATCGACGCCTCTGAATTCATGAAGACCCGTTGACGTGTATATACAGCGATTTACTTTCTGGTAGGATGACTCTAAAGGAACACTGCCACAAGTCACAACCTACAAAAGGGACAAAAGAAAACCATCAGAAGAAGAAAATGAAAGAAAAGAAAGAACAAAGTTTAGCAGAGTTACCCCGGTGATTTTCACGTACTGCCCGTCCTTCGCATTCCCGAGCTGAGCGTCTGGGAAGTTGGCAATAAAGCCGAGCACCGACTTCTTTCCCCAGCAAGTGTTCCAGATGAGCAGAACCATGAGGGCCACAAAGAGTGACCCGACCACGATGAGCAGGATGGCGTTCTGGACCGCCACGAGAATGAAGCCGCCCGCGATGAACCCCATGATGAAGAGCGGGATGACCGTCCACAGTATCACCTTCGGGAAGTTGCTCCGGAGCGAGTAGCTCTGCTCGTTGCTCATGTTGGTCACCGCCTGGCCGTGCATGGACGACGCCCTGGGGAACCTCCCGGACGCCCCCAGCTCCATGGAGCCGGACAGCCCCTTGCGCGGAGCCCCGGTGGAGGAGAGCGGCCCAGAGGTGATGAGTCCGGTGGCAGGGAGATTAGGCGTAAGTGGGCCGGAAGTCTTCAGAACGTTGGGCGTTGTCCCGCCTGACAAAGGCCCTGACGTCTTCAAGCCACCACCAGCGCCGTGTGGTCCCGTGAGCGGCCCCGACTTGGAGCCAGAGCTCGCAAAGCCCGCCCCGGAGAGGGGCCCCGAGTTGGATCTTTGGGAGTAGGACTTGCTAGCGCTCATCGGGCCCGAGGTGGGGAAAGCCGTCCGAGGTGCTCCAGATGGGAGTGGTCCGGAGTGTGAGCGCGACAGCACCGCGGAACCCACTTGGTGTTGCTGCTGCTGCTGCTGCTGCTTTGCCTGTGGATTCCCAACTCCACTCCCAATTGGACCCGACTTCTTTGTCTTGGGAGCCTCTACGGGTATGTCAAACATCTTGCCCAGCTCGCCAGACTTCTTTATGTCACCACCTGTGTATGGCATCGCTGTGGAGCTCATCGTTGGCAGCCTCTCCTTGTACGGATCCGGCCGCCCGGAGACGTAGAGCCCATTGCTGAGCTGATGCGAGGGGAAGCTCGTGGTCGGGATGCTGTAGTTGCCGCTGTTGCTGCCAGCCATGGCCTTCCCGGTGTGGACGGACGAAATCTCGCGAAATATTTCCCTTGCCCCGCGCCAAGAACCAATGCCCGTGCCGAAATATTTTCCCTAGAAGCACTCCTTACCCCGTCAGTGCTAGATCCGCGGTGTACACCCCCGGCATTGTCGAATCCGGGCGAAATGCCACTCCCCCGGTGCTTGCGGTGTTCCCTGGAGCGGCGGAGCAGGAGGCGCCGGGGCCGAGGAGAGCAATGCCGGTGGATTTCGTGGCGCGCGCCTTGATTTCGCTGCCAAATCCCAGCGCCAGCGGCGAGCGCGTCGGGGAAATGCAGCACAGCGGCTGCTACCTGCGAGTGCGTAGATCCCCACAGCGCCGCGGCACCATCGCTCTCCGATCTTGCGCTAGGGTTTTGAGAGTTACGCTAATTTAAACAAATAAAGCCAGGATGGAACGGGTTTAGGGTTTAGCTACGGTAAAAAACAGGAAGAAAGAGTGTGCTAATTAAGAGTTAATTAATGGGGGTTTAATAAAAAGTAGTGGCGGTCTCATTGCCTCCATTTCCTCCAGTGCGCTTGGAATAATCCGCCCAAACCAAGCCGTTAAGCTGAAGGAAGAAGAAACGATGGACATTGATAATGATTCTAGAAAACATTGGTAAAGAGCCATCATAGCTAAAGTAGCTTTGATCAAAGCTTGGACTTCTAGAACTATTCTAGCTATCAAGGAATATACATCCATACATACAAAAACCGTTCGTAAGTCGACCCTCCCAAGAGATTCTCTAGTCGTCATCGCCATATTGGCTGTTGATCAAGGAGAGCGCCCAAGCATCCGGGCTGAATCCACGCGATGGAAGCTCTGGATCATCCGAGAGCTCGCTGGCTTGATCGCTCATGCTCACAACCGGTGCCAGAGCCAGATCTTGCTCTGGGGGTATGTTCTCCGCGAGGGGCTGGACGCTCAAGGCCACCATTTGCTTGGAATGCTCGCCTCCTGCGCAAAAAGCTTCGTTTTCCAAGATGAAAAGCGGAAGAATGAAGATCAATGCTCTTACCAGTGACCATCATTTGCTTGGAATGCTCGGCTCCTGCGCAAAAACCATCGTTTTTCAACTAGAAACGAAAGAAAAAGTGGGACGAACTTACCATTCATGGGATCAGCCACAGCGGATGGAAAATCTCCTGCAAAACTCGCCGAGGATGAGATCGTATAGTCGTAAAGCTACGCTTTTTTCGTTTACCGTATGGAGAGACTTTCCTTGTTGGAGCCCGGAAGATGAATGGCTCCAGGACGATCCCGAGACGCTCCGGATTCGTTCGAGGCTTTTTATTAGCCGGAGGAAAGGCTTTGCTTCCCCCAAGAACAGCGATCTCCTCTTTAGATCCAGCGGCAGGCTTTTGAGCTTCCACCGGTTTGAGAGGAGAGGAAGAAACGGCAGGCTTTTGAGTTTCCACCGGTTTGAGACGAGAGGAAGAAACTTTGGCTCCAGCGGCAGCTTTTCTTGAAGCTTCCACCGGACTGGAAGTGGAAGCTTTGAATCCAGCAGCCTTTGCCGCTGGCGATGCGCGACATCGCGATGGTCTCTTTTCCTTTCCCCGGTCGACCACTGGCAGTCATGCTTTTGTTCGAGAAAAGAGAGAAAAGAGATTTTTTTTTTCTTACCAGTGCCAGTCGAGGAGCTCTTCATGGAAGTACCGCTTTCGATCGCCAATGTGTCCGCTTCCTGCTGCGCAACATCGGGTATGAGCATGGAAGCGAAACCAAAGGGAAGAAACGAAGAAACGAATGGGAAATACCATCTGGTCGAGGCAAAGCTCGGCCAGAACTTCGAAATGGTTTTGCTCCAGGAATGCCCATCCATTGTAAACCTGCAAGCCGACGATCGAGGCACACACACAAAAAAAAAAGTGGCTCTTTTGAGACCTTGAGCGCCTCGGTGAGAACCCCGAGAACAAATTTTCTGGGCAGCCCAATCGCTGCCATGGCATCCAGAGCTCTCGCTGTTCTCTCGCTGTCTTCGTGCATCGCTCCCGCCCTGAAACATAAAATCTAGAAAGAAAATGACCTTAGCATGACCCAAAACAAAATCATGTTTTTCCTCAACAAGCTGAAAAAAAAAATTGGAGCTTGGATTTGTGTCAGACTATATAATGTTAAGTCGATTGTCAAACGCTCTCACAAAAGGGCTTCTTTGTCCCCCATTGCGAAACTCTCAATCTCGCCTGTATACACAACGAAGAAAGAAAGATCTTCTTGCCTTGCTTACTTTCCATGCAGCTTGCAGTAAGCGTAGAATCCAGAACCCAAAAATCCCAGAGCTTGGCCCAAAACGTTTAGCTGTTGGCACAAAGCCACACAGATTTTCGAGTGAGAACAAAAACGAGCACAAAAACATGGCCTCACCCAGTCAAACGGCAGGCCTCCAAAAAGCAGCCATCCCAGAAAAATAGTGCCGAGGTCCTGCCAAACGAAATCAAAAACCAAAAAAGAACTTTGAAAGTTTGCCAAGTAACAGATGTGTAGCAAGCGAACCTTGATGTTTCCGCACATTGTTTGCGTCAATGGCGAGTTTAGAGACGTGTTGAGGAAAATTGTGTAGTTAAGAACGAAGGCTAGAATACATGATAAAAGTAGCACAGCCTGAGAGAGAGGAAACCAAAAGCTAATCATGAAGCAGCTTAAACCGAGTGATGAAACTCCAACCTGGAATCCGTGCTCGTATAAAGCTGGAAAATCTGTTGCTGAGTGAAGCTCTCCCGTTAGCCATGTCCAGACTAGAAGTATTGGTAAACAAACTAAGCCTGCTCAGAATAAAAGTGTAAAGAAACACACAGAGCTTTACGGAAAACCAATGAGCTTACTATTACACCACATGAGGCCAAAGCTGTTTAGTCCTGTGACCTTCCCTGCAAAGTGATTGATCGTATGACAATGAGCATAAAACGGGAGAAAAAGTCGCAAACATACCGAGGCGAGCAATCACCGCTAGGTAGATTGCCGTTGTTACGTTGGAGATGACAACCAAAGAATAGCCGGCGGTATCAAAGGAGAAGTCTCTGGCTCCAGCTAGAAACGCTCCAAAGACTATAACTCCCACGCTGCAAAAAGAAAGAGGCAAAAGTTCTTAAAGTTTTTCCTTTCTCTATCTTGCGAGATCTTAGACCCAAACCTGCAAATCACTTCTCTCGAATGCCTCTGTCCCATGATGGCGTACTCCATTGCCATTGTGAACAAGACTGTCGTTCGCCGGAGCGTTGTGTACATTGGCACGCTCACTCCTCTGAGTGAGGCCATTCCAATCACCTGTTCATGCGCGAAAACTGAGAAGAGATTGACAAAGTCGAGCTCACTCACCATGTACATTAGATACGAGAATGACAGTGGTAGAGTCCGCTTGAAAGTTCTCATGGGAACCAAAAGCCTCTTGCTGGTCGACCCTTCCTTCCCGAGAATAATTTCCAGTGGCTCATTCTCAAACGTGATCAAGTTCCAGTATCGCAGAGTGTAAAGTAGGCAGATCGAGCAGATGATCTTTGCGAAAAATGTGAAAAGGAAGAAACATCACAAACAGTCCACAGGAGGAAAAAAAGAAACCGAAGTACCTGAAGAAGTGTGATCACGTTAGCACAGGGAAAGCTGTAAGTTGAGAGCGCAGCCTTGTTAAACATGACGAGCAAAACTGCAAGAGATGGAAGAAAAAAACAAAGAGATCAGCTCTCCTAACCTACAGGATGAATCGATCGGTCCATTCATCCATCGATCGGCGTACCTGCGCAAGCCATGTAGGAGAGAGCGGCGAGGATGCCCCGCCGCCCCATCCCCCTGGCGCCCATGTCGTCTACGCCATCGCCCGCCATTCTTCCTCTCCTACAGCATTGACCCAGGAACCCTAATTCCTGTTTGAATTGAACGTTGATCTCGGTGAAACGCTGACCGAGAAGAGAGTTGCGCGTTCCCGCCCAAAAGAAGTAACTTCCGAAGTTTTCGGTGTTTTGCCTTTTCTCTTGCGTTGATGTGCTTGATCTTCACAAGAGCAAACTCTTATACAAAGTTTTGGTATCAATCGCATTGGTGATAACAAGAGCTTCTTCTAACTTGCTTGTATTCGAAGAACGAATGATCTATCGTCTCCTCCACTAGCAGCAAGGACTTCGACTCGTCCACCTCGTGATCCTGGGCGAAGAGGCTGGAGAGGAGGGCATACGCGGACGATCTCTTGGGCGACGACGCGAGTGCCAACTCCGAGATCCTGCGACCCCTCCTTGGATCTCGGTGAACCCGGCAAGCGCCCACCAAGCTCGTCAAGCTCACAAAGTCGGGCTCAAACGGCATGTTGGCGACGAGATCCTCGGCCTTTTCCAGCTGCCCGGTTCTCCCCATGAGATCCACAACGCAGCCGAAGTGATCCCTCTCAGGGACGATGCCGTGATCGCCCACCATGGTTGCGAAGCAGCGGAGAGCGTCGCGGAGCTCCCCCGCGTGGCTGCACGCCGAGAGAAGCACGGTAAAGCTCACGGGATCGGCGTGGAAGCCCGCCAGGTTCATGTCTTGGAAGAGCTCCAATGCGGCGGCGGAGTGGCCGGCGTGCGCGTACGCCGCGAGCATCGTGTTCCACAGCAGCACGCACAGCTCCGGGAGGTCGTCGAAAAGCTTGCGCGCAGTGGCGACATGGCCACAGCGGCCGTAGACGTTGATGAGCATCGCGGCGAGCGTGGCGTCGGCGGCGAGGGCCCGGATGGAGATCTCCTCGTGGATGGCCTTGCCCGCGTCCAGCACGGCCTCGCGCGCGCACGCGTGGAGGCTGCTGATGAAGGTGATGCGATTCGGGGACGCGCCGCTCGCCACCATTGCCCGGAAGAGCTCCAGCGCCTCGCGGAAGCTCGAGTGCTGGACCGCCGCCGCGATGATCGCGTTCCAGGCCACCACATCCGGGTCGGCCAGCGCGTGGAAGACGTCTCTCGCTCCTTGCAAGTGCCCGTTCTGGGCGAACGCTGCGATCATCGTGGTTGAGGAGACGGGGCTCTCCTCCGGGAGGAAATTGTAGAGACGCATCGCGGAGGAGAGGTCACCGATCCGGGCAAAGTCGATGATGAGCGCGTTCCAGGCGAGGTTGTCGTGCTGCGGCATCCGATCGAAGACGCTGCTCGCCTGCGAGAGATGGCCGTGCTGCGAGAAGCTCATCATCAGTGCGGTCCAGCTGATCACGTCCCTCCCGGCCATGGAGTGGAAGACGCTGGCCGCCTCGATCGCCTGCCCGGCCTTGCCATAGAGATTGATCAAGCTGTTGTGGACCTTGCGATCCAGCAAGACGCCACTGCTCGCAACCTCCGCGTGGATGATCCGGCCGAGGGACGCCCACGCGAGGCAGCCAGCACACGCTTCGATCGCGGTCGTGAATGTAATGCGATCCGCCGCGACGCCCTCAATTTGCATCAGTCGAAAGAGATCGATCGCCTGCTGGGAATACCCGTTCTGGGCATACGCTGCGATCATCGCGTTCCATGTCACGGTGTCGTGATCCGGGGTTTGATCGAAGACCTCTCTGGCCTCGCGTACCCATCCCTTCTGCGCGAAGCTTGTGATCATCAGATTCCAGGAGACCGAGTCTCTCTCAGGCATCCGCTCAAAGATTTTCTTCGCGTCACCAAAATGCCCGTTCTGGGCAAATGCCGCACTCATGATGTTCCAGGAGAAGACGTTGCGCTCCTTGATCCTGGAAAAAGCCCTCGCGGCGCCCTCGATATCGCGGCAGCTGCCATACATCTGGACGAGGAGATTCCCCAGAAACGTTGATCCATCCAGCCCCAGCTTGCCGAGCTCGGCGTGGATTTGCTTGCCATCGGCTAGGGCCTTGGATCTGGCGCAGCGGCGGATCTCCTCGCCGAGCCGATCCACGGAGGGAGCTGCCAGTCTCGATCTTGCGGCGTTGCTTGCCCATTCGCGCTGGATCATAGCCGATCGTCATCCGGGCCGGATGAGAATGCCCTAAGTTTCATGGCATTTTCATGTGGAGTAAGGTTCTTCTCGCCCTCGCCATCGCCATCGCCATTCGCAGCGCCCAGATCGACGTCCCAGCGGCATTTGGCCTCTGCTAGCAGTGAGTCGTTGCGATTTGGGTGGTGTCAATCACTCTCTTGATTGGTGATCCCAGTGGCTAGCGGCGGCGATGGCGATGGCGATCCCATCCGGCATTGGATCCTTGGAGATGGCGGCGCCACCAAGATCACCAGGATTACGCCTGTGGGAGGCGGATGCATCAATGCTGCCAATCGCTACGACACGGACGCTGGCTCTTTCTTCGTGAAAACGAACAGGCGCGGAATTCTCTTATTTTCTTTTCTCTTGAGAGCTATGGTTTCTTACCGGGATGGATGGATGGATTGTTTCTACAGAGGAATCGATTCTTCCATGTTTGAGGCCGAGGCCGCTGGCCTGGATGCCATGTACCGGACGAACACTGTACGCGTGCCAAAGCCTCTAAAGGTCTCACATTTTCTTTCTTCTTTCTCCAACTTTGTTTCATAGAGTTGTCTTGTTTCTTTGCTTCTACCTTTTTTTTTTCTTTTCTAGGCAGGGAGTTTGCCCCGAGGAGGCTCTTTCATCATCATGGAATACATCGAGTTTGGCGGATCGACACTTCATGGCCAGGTGAGAAAGCAGTGCATGGTGATGAAGAGTTGTTTTGTTTAAACACTTTCAGTTTTCCAGAGGGAGCTGGGGAGGATGCTTGGGAAAATGCACAAGGCTGGGATTTCTGACAGGGGATTTGGATTTGAGATGGATAACACCATTGGCAGGCAAGTGCTTTTGGAGTTCGTGTTTTGTCATTGTGTTTTTGCTGTGATCAGCACACCGCAGCCGAATCCATGGACACCCGACTGGATCACGTTCTTCCGTGATCACCGCATTGGTCACCAGCTGGAACTACTCTTGACGAATTACAGCGACCAACAAATCTACGAGAAAGGTTCTTCCACGTGAAGTAGAGTGCTGAAGCGCCATTTTGTCTTCCAGGCAAAAAACTGCTGGAGAAGATCCCATATCTTCTCAGAGACTTGAAGGACGTGCAACCGTGCTTGCTTCACGGAGATCTCTGGAGTGGCAACATGGCTTACGACAAGGATGGCAAGCCTGTCATTCTCGATCCAGCTTGCTACTGTAAGATCCTCGTCGTCCTCTCAAAGTTTTCAATTTTTCTTCCCAGATGGTCACAACGAGGCGGAATTTGGAATGTCGTGGTGTGCGAGTTTCAACTCAAGCTTCTACGATGCATACTTCAAAGTAAAAAGTCGTCATTCCCTTCATCGTTGCTGAGGAGAAAGCGTGTTAAACAGTCTCGTTCTTTTCTTTTCCAGGAGATGCCAAAGCAGAAGGGATTTGAAGACCGGCTCCATCTCTACAAGCTCTACCACTACTTGAACCATTACAATCTCTTTGGGAGCTCCTACCGCACGCAGTGTATCTCGATCATAAGTCGGTACAATAATCAACTTTAGAAGATGGTAAGAAGGAATATTACTTAGAAGCATCAAAAGGCTAACTTGATCGGATTTCAAAAATTCCTGCTAGATCTAAATTAGTTTTGTTCAGAAAGTTCATAAGGTCTCTCTATACAACAAGGCCAGAAGTGAATGCAAAATAAGTACCGATCTTGCCCGGTACGAAGTGTGGTGAAACCAGGTTAGTCACCTCATCCGGCAGTGGCTGCTCGGTTGCTGGATGGATCTCGTGCTGTGCTCGAGCTGCACTGGATCCTTATGCTGCTCAGGCTGCATGAGAGCTTAGGTTCTAGTTCATGATTGAGGTGGCTACCAGTGTCTTGGGCTCCTAGCTCCGGAGCCTTAAAGTCTTGTTCAAAGTTGTCGAAACATGCTGCGTGGAGTGTACTTCGACCAAGGTGAGTGTCCATGACATTCAAACCTACTAGATGTTTGCAGCTGTCAAAGCCATAGCCATGGCTCTACTGGATAATTGTGTGAGATTGACTGTGTGTCCAAGATGTCCAAGAGTTTCATCCACACCTTGCTTGAAGTAACACTTGTAGGGGTCGAATCATGCAACGTCCAATGGCTGCATGTGGCAATATCACATCCATGCCTAACATTCTCGCTGTGTCCATGGCAATTTTGGTCACTTGGTAATGATTTTACAAACTCTTCAAGCCAAAATGGCCACAAGCTGTCTGTCATCTAGGCTTTGTTGCTGATGGCGAACACAGTTCTAAAGCTTGATTCAACAAATCACTGCAGTAATGGTGATTGATAAAAGGCGCCAAGAGGCAGTTTTGGTCGAGCCGCCCGAGGGTAGGACTGGACATGCGCTGTGCTTGGCGGAGCTAGAGAAAGTGCAGGAGCGAGTTTTTCCATGCATCTCTTCTGCAGGTAACAGATTACCACCTCTATTCCGTACAACTTGAACTTCTCAAGTTATGCCGATCTCGACTCATGGGTCACATTCGAGCATCTCCTGTCAACGTGCGGTACGCCACAAGCTCTGGAGCTCGCATTCACAAAGTGAGTATATGTTACACAGGGTGTTTTTTACATGTCGGTGGTTCTTTTGCAGCTGCGGGCTGAGGTGGGAACATCAGATTGCTGGATATGTGTCCATCCATCTTCTTGATTGCTGTTAATGTTTGGTGTTCAGTATAGGATTGGTGTGCACAAAACATGTCCTTGAAGGTGGTGCTTGGAGACGCACATGTGTATGTGTTTGGCGAGGCCCTTGCGTCGGTGACGCTGTGTCGAAGTGGGAAGGACGAGATGCTGAGCCGTCTAAGTTCTCTTTACCGTCTCAAAAATGCTAGCCCCCTGCAAAGTAGCAGTCAACCTTTTTATTACCACATATTCTGAAAGTTTGTGCACACAGGAGCGGCTGACTACAGCAGACACCTATCTTATTGTTGCGTCAAATCACCTAGAGTGTCACATGGATAGCGATTTTACAAGCGTTTTCACCTCTCGGATTGACGCACTACTTCTAATCCACAAAAGACGAGCTTGTAATGTGCGAACTAGTACAGGGCCTCGAGGAAGCATGCCGCCAGATTGCCGGTACAGGGACTGTTGAATGCAGGACATTCGCAGTAGTTCCTGTTGGAGAGCTGCTGCGACAGAAAGTGGCCAATGGAGTGACTCAAGAGGTGAGTGGACAGCTATACAGCGCCACAGGGGACAAAGAGGAAATCAACATATATTTGAGTCTGAAGACAAAGAAATGCATGGTTTGCACCCCCACCGTACATCCATAATCTATTTGCAGCTATATAACCATAGTACCGTTTTTAGTCAATGGGAACCCTCAAGTACCCAAACCCGTTACGTCTTGCAAGCCCGCACGTCCCAGGGAACCCTGCATAAGGGTGATGGACTTCAAGGTAATAGCGCTTCAAATTCACCTCTCTTTTTCTTTGTTGTTTGAGATTTTTTTATCAGGAAAAGGACCTCAAGCTTGTTTATAAAGTCAACTCTTGCAAGTTTGTGATTAAATGTGGGAACATAGGAGAGTGGTTTGTGGACGGAAAGAATGATGCTATTGTAATTCTGTTAGAGGTCAGATACACAGAGGTAAAGCAAAGGGTGTTTGGCATTTGACTTGAGCTTTTGTCTTTTCAGAAATATGTTTTGCTAATGGTTCCTTTACTGTTGGATATCATGTAACTGTCTTTCCTTATTTCATCTTTTTACCTTTTAACTAACTTGTTTCTCAGCCCTTCAGCAAGACTGCCAGCATTATTACTCAAGGCCCAAAATACTCCAAAGTCAGGGAGATGGAAGCTGCCAAGCATCTTGGTCTCACTTACAGGTATGAGTAGCAAATTTAATACATTGTGCTTTTGCTATAAGTAGTGGCATTTAGGGGTACTAAAGACATATGTGTTAATGAAAAGGCATTTTTTCTAGCTTGGGATAAAGTTAGATGCTTAGAGGTAAATATACAGTTGTTTGACTTACCAAGCAGTCAAAGTTGATCATTCAAAGTTTGTTATCTAGTTTGTTATCTGAATAATTCAGATAAAATTTTGATGAGTTTTATCATTGGTTTGCTCAAGACTTTTTGAAGAAATGATGTTATTTGGGTTGCTATGGATCATTTGATAAAGATTGGCTCACTTCTTCTTGGTGAAAACAACAATTAAAGTTTTTGAACTTATGTACATTAGTTGTTCAGTATTTATGGTTTGATGAGTGACATTGTGAGTGAATGATATCTTAAATTCATATCAAAGTTTTGGCAAGTAGTGTTTAAAAAGCTAGAGACTACACTAAGCATTAGTAGTGGTGAGCATCCATAATTAAATGAGTAAATAAAGTGCATGAATTAGCTATTAGAAGATATGTTGAGGGTTTTTTTTGTAGGAAACTTGATATGGGAAAAAGTACTTATTTGTCATAATAATTCTAAAAAATTAGCTATTGATATATCTTCATTTATAGCATTGTATGTCTACCATAGGTTTGAGTTTGACTTATGTTTGAATGCAGTTTACTTATAATTTCTTCAAGGATATATAAAATAAGCTTGAGTTAGCAAAGTTGAACATAAGGTAAATTCAAGAATGAGACAAAAGGTTGGATGGTGAGCATTATTATCATTGGAGTACAAAGTTAGTGACAAGTTTTTCCTTAAGCTATCTAATACATAATGGTCTTTGAAAGGAGGTGGTAATACTAAGTTATTTTTATGGTATTTGAAGATTATCCAACATTCTAATTTAAAATCCATTCAACATTCCACATGGAAGATTAAAGTGTGTGCACTTTAGCAATGTTATTCTTAAAAATTGATGTTAAAGAAGTTAGTCCAACCTATAAAGTTGGTGAAGATACACTATAAAATAGCTAAGGAGTTGTTAGTTTAGTGGAATGGCTTATAGCAAAGGCTATATGTGAAGTTTGTAAATGACTTAAAAAAAGTATTTCCAAGTTTTAATTATAATTGGGCAACATTCCTAAAGAAGAAGTTCTATAACTATATTGTTATACTGTTATTTTATTTTCATTCTCTTGTTTATGTAGTATCATGTAAAAAAGCCATATTATTTTCTTTCCTTTGTGGCTGTTTATCACAATGTTAGTGTTGTTATTTGCAAATCTTTTCTCTAGCCCTGTACTCACCACAATAATATTCTAAGAATATTCTAAGACATGGCCGTAAGATTCATTTCAAGCCGACAGCAAGGTAAGCTGCCCTGAATTAGACATGTGTTTGTTATTCGTGTTTGAAATTGTAGGTCCACTTTAGAGAGCCTAGGTAGCTGCAACAGACCTCCTTGCTTTTGATGATTATGATGGCTATATATCTTGTTGGAGCAACAGACCTCACTTTTCATTCACCCCCAAAGAAGTGTATAACAAAGCCTTCACAAGTGCCCTTTTGAAACTATACAGGCCACATGCAGAGCTTCAGCACTAATCCTTGGGGTTCAATTGCTTCCAAGTATCTAGTGCTTGTGTTGAATGGAAGAAATTATTTCTTAATTTGCCATTCAAGAGAAAACTATGGTGAGCTACACCACTGACCAGGGCAACAAGAAGGTGCAGTGTATAGTGGCAGTAGAGGAGCGGGACAGCAAGAGCAGGAGGCTAGTGAATGGGCCATTGTATGACCTTGCTTGAACATACACTTTAGCACATTTGAGTGCCCTTTGTATGCTTTCTACAGCAATCCGTGCCGCTTTATCCAGAGGAAACCTGAAATACAATGCAAACTCAGTATACAAGAGGTAAGGTGTGAGTACAAACCTCGTTGCTTTCCTCAAGCTTTTCTGGGAATGCTGTGTGCTTAACCCTGCCCACAAGCAAATGATATAGTATATTGAATAACACAAATTTATCACCCCTCAAATCTATAGGGGTATCCCTTCACAAAACTTTAGCATAAACATTAATGATAAAGGAGTTGAAATTAACAAACTCTTTAAGTTTATTTAAGAGATTGCCATGAATTAGATAGAATTTATAATCCTACATAATACATCAGCCACCTTATTATCACTATGCTTGTATTGGATCTTAATAAACATTTAATGGTTTAAATCCACATGGAAGTCCAATCTATATGGATAATGTCATTCTTTCACACCAATGTTTATAACATAGAACTTTTTGTCTTAAGTAAGCTAGTTTTACTGTATAATATCAAACTTATAACTTGTAAATGTCAGAGGTGCCCAACTTCAAGCAATACAACGTCACTTTTATCTATCTCAACAATAAAAGGCTTTTTAAGATTTAAAATCTTCAACATTATTCTCTGTGTTAAGCTTGATATCAAAGTGTATCACAATACCACTAATCCAAGACCACCATTCCAAGAGCATAGCTGAGTGTGGAGTGGAGCTCAAATAACCAAATGAATACCATCAATCTATCCATGTTTAATCTCTTTAGAATGACTACCTTCCATCACTAGCCACTTGGACCATCTCCTCACTCTGGAGGTGGTTGATTGCAAGAACATGTAGCTCAAGCTACTCAATTTGAGCTCTAATTTTTTGCAAGAGGTCCTAAAAAACCTCTTTGTCTTTGAGAGCCTGTAAAGCTTGGATTTTAATGAGAAATCTTTAGTAGTAATTGGAGTTCCATAGTTTAGCTCAATGTTATAATTGCTTAACCTGTCCATCAAGAACTTGACTATGAGAGTTTCCATCAAAGTTAAG